TGTTTTGTCCCCTTTTTCTACCCACCATTTGATCTTATTTGTGCTCCTTTAGCTTTGTATTCATATTGGCTCTTTAGATCTTTTTCTAATGTGGATATTTTTCTTTAATAAAGTTATTTGTTTGATTTTTCATATTATGTTTTTAGTTGTGATTCTAGATCATGTGTTGCATTTTTTCTATTTTTTTCTTCAATTTTACTATACTTAATACTATATTCCTTTATTTCTAATTTGAGAGAGTCCCACACAAGTCTTGAATCTATTTCATTTTTTTTCTATCTTTTTACTATGTTTTTGTATTATTTCACTTTTATTGCATTCATACTCTTACTCATCAAGAATACAGTTAATAATTTTCCAGTATCCTGGGCCTCTTGTTTCAGTTGAGACAGATTGTAATTGTATGCAAACTGCTTGATGGTCGGTGCTTTTAATAAGAATGGGTGAAATGTCACATGACTGAACGTTTAAAACAAAATCTTTTGTTTTAGAAAGAACATGTCAATTCGACTAGACTGGACTGGATTTTTTTTATCTCAATGTATATTGTATCTTTTGGGGGTTTAAGTGTCTACATACATCTATTAAGTCGTTTGATTTTATTAATTAGTTTAGGCTATTGGCTGGTTTGCTTACTTTTATTTTTACAAATATTGGATTTTTTTCTATCTACATTTTTAAGGGCATTATTCAAGTCTCCATCTGAAATAATTGTACCTATGGTATTTTTGTTTATAAAATCATTTAGTTTTTTGAAAAAGATATTTCATGCAGATTCTATATTTGGAGCATAAATGTTTATAAAAGAATAGATTATATTCTCAAATTCTATATTTATCATGATTATTCGACCTTCTGAATCTTTATGCTCATCTATTAATTTATAGTAAAAAATTTTATAAATTAATATAGCTACCCCTCCGTTTGAAGTTGTTCCATGTCTATATATGATAATGAGAATGATCTGATTCAATAGTTAGAACACTTTCTAAAGATGTATTGAAGTGATTTTCTTGAATCAAAGATATTTCTTTACATAAGTATGCTCTAAATGCGGGTAACAATTCTTGGGAAATAACTATATAATTATCATGATTTTAGAAAAAAAGGCATTTTTTGCTGTCAATGTATCTAATTAAAAAAAAAAACAGCTATGATTTGTTCACAAAAATTGGTACAAAAAATCTTCATACATAATCAAGCCAAATGTCATTTTTTAGAAAGTGGTGTCCATGCACTTGTTTTCAAGCATGAAGTTTAACTCAGTTTAAAAATGCATCTTTTTCCAACATATCAGAGTTTGACATCGAAAAATATAACATTTCAACATTTAGCAACATCATAACCTCCCCTGTAACTGTATCTTATGCCCTTGAGCATAGCTCTGATACCTTGTCTGGATTTGGTCATACTTTTCAACCTTTTCGATTTTATTGGGTTTTAACATGTTTAGGTTAGGAATTTGTGAAGCAAGTTAAATAACATTTTTATTTGTTCATGTTTAGGTCATGGCATCCAATAAATCTATACTATGTGGACCTTGTCACAAAGGAGAAATAAACACTAAAGCTGGTATCTGGTGTTTTAACTGTGATGAAGGATTATGCTCAACATGTTTAAGTCATCACAAAAGATCCAAAGGAACCTGTGATCATAAGACCATTGATATCAAAAGTTATAATCCCTCCATCCAAGCCATCAAAACAGAATGTGACAAACATAGTCAACAGCTCAACTTGTACTGTCCCAGTCATTTAATGCCTTGCTGTGATGAATGTATTTCCACAAGTCATTCAAAATGTACCGGCATTAAAAGTCTAGTAAGTGTCGTAGAGAAAACCAAAATTGAAAAATCAAAGGAATCTATAGAGACAGACATAAATTCTATCTTAAATTTATTGGTAACATTAATCAACAACAAATCCAAAAACATTGAAAAGGGAGAAAATCAGTGTTTAAGCATAAAGAAATCAATTAAAGGAATTAGACAGGAAATAAATAAACATTTAGATCACCTCGAGAAAAAGTTGTCCCAAGAAATAGATACCATTTGGAATCAGGAAAAATCAAAAGCAACTGATTTCATTTCTGAAATTGAAGGGAAAAAGGAACACTTGAAGGAAATGAAAAGAAATTTACAAACAGTCACATCAAATACAATTAAACTACAATCATTTATTGGTGTACATCAGATTGAACAAAAAGTACATCAATGTCAACGTTATGTTGAAGATCTGGATCAGAGTACAAAAGAAGTTGACATCAAAATGAAGCAAAATGATGAAATAGAAAAGATATTGAACAAGTTAGGAACATTAAAATCCCTAGGAGAAGTCATTGTTATAAAGACAGAAGTAGCCATGAATAGAGAAACAAGTGTAAAGAGGAAAGCACAGGTAGAATCAAAAGAACAATCCAACATAAACAACATGACCATGAATATTGAGACAAAGATAGAGATCAACATAAAGAAGAGGATTAGTGACATGATTTGTCTGATGGATGGAAGAGTTATAGTAGTGGAATGGGGAGGTAAAGTTAACCTACATACTTCTGATGGTAAACTACAGAAACAACTACCTATACCTGGTAATGCCTGGAGTGTTACACAGATCAATCAGAACACTATAGCCATGACTTATCCTAATGAGGGAGCCATTAAGATCTTCAATATGGAGAATGAAGCAGTTACCAAAGTTATCACATTAAACAAAGGATGCTGGGGATTATCATTCTACAATAATTCTCTGGCTGTAGGTTTGAATAATGATGAAATCCGTATTATAGACTTGGAAGGAAATACACTGAAGTCAATACAAGTTGAGAGTAGATCAAACCTGGAGTACCTTGTTTACCGTAATGACAGAGTAATCTGTAGTAACTATAAAGGTAAAGCAGTATACTGTGTAGATGGATCAGGTAAACAGATCTGGCAATATACACAGGATTTATCACGACCATGGGGACTTTGTACAGATACTTATGGTAACATTATTGTAGCAGACTGTGTCTCTGACAGGATAATAGTAATATCAAAAGATGGACAGAATAGTAAAGTACTGGTTAGTAAAGAGGATGGACTGGACAGACCTATGTGTATTTGTTTTAAACATAATGAGTCTTCAGGTTTCATTTGTGATAACAATGGCACATACTTGGCAAAATTTAATTTATCTATATAAATATGAAAGTAATATACAAATATGTATAATACAAGTGATGATGTGAAGTTTGAATGTCAAAGGAAAGATAAGGCAAGTGTTCAGATGTTAAAGTGTAATGTTGTTGTTGGGTTAATAACGAATTAATGTTCACATCACATATATACCTGTATAATCTTAAGTGGTGATATTTGGTTTGAATGTGGGAGGAAATGTGGGCAAGTGTATAGATGTTTGTTGTCTGTGTTTATTGTGTTGTTGGTTTACTGTCTAATTAATGTTCACATCACATATCCTTATATTCCTATATTTTAATTTTAACTTATGTTAAGTGGTGATTGTGAGAGGAAATAGGGGCAATTGTATAAGTGTATGTTTTTATTGTGTTGTTGGGTTACTGTCTTATCAATGTTCACATTACATATCAGATTTGACAGGAACCAAAGAACAAACATTATTATACCAGTCTGTGCCCAAAACTTATTGGGAGTACTGGCCCATAGTGATGTTTACTAGACCTGAAATAATTTGTGTCACAGGTGAGGATCACGAAGTAATCCAAACCTGCTAGGAGGGTTTGGGGGCATGCCCCCCCCCCCCCCCCCCCCCCCCCCCCAAGAAAATTTGGAAAATTAGACGTAAAATCCTGCATTCTGAGGTTACATTTTTGTATTGGAAGTGAATATAACTTTTCAAAAAATATTGTTTTTTCTCCAGGTCAGATGAAAAATTCTCCTTTCCTCCAATAAAAAATTAATATAGTTCTTTTGACAAAAAAAAAATTGGTTTTCTATAAACTTGTACCATTTCAAGTAAAAAGACTCAGCTAAAAAAATCCACATTTTTAGCACTAGTAAACTATTACTCACTTGAGGGATTGTTAATTTTTTGGAGAAAAATTCCCTAATTGGTGGGTGTCCCCAACCTGTTTATTCCTCATCAGGAACATAGATATACCGTTCCCAGTTCCTCATATTCTTTCACATTTTTTTAGTCTTAAATATCAATTCTCTAGCTGGCACTTTATTAGGGTCTGGATGGGGGTCCCACATTTCTGTATTCTTAAATTTTTTATGCCATTTTTCGCAATTCTATTTAATTTAGAACCTCATTTTTCTCTATTCTTTATTTTTTGGTCCATTTTTCTCTAAAAAATATTCTTTATGTGTTTTGCCCTTTTAAACTCCCCATCCACACCCTCCTTCATTGCCACTTTCGTTAATGTTGTTTAAAAAATATGCCTAGATCGTTTTTCTGCATAGCTTTTTTCAACTCGATACTTCTCAGGGTATTCGTGTAGGCATTTTCAACTTTTCAATGTTTTACCTGGGATAAGCCCCTTGTTTCCATTTCAGCATCGAATGAGATCGAATCCTTGATTGTTTGTTTACATTGAGTGGTATTTATAGATTGTTTATTGCAAGCACATGGTCGAGCCTCGTTCTCGATTTCGTTGGTTATTAGGTATATTGTTCACGACTGGTTCCAATTGATTAGAAGTAAAAAAAAAACGTATATAGTAAAATAGGGATACCTGTAAACGGATGAAAACGAGGTCGGCGACAAATTTGTAACTTGTTCTCATAGATTCAAATAAATTACCGGCTACAAGTTCGCAAACTATTGCAGATGTTCACTAGACCGATCAGGCAATCACTAGTGCTTCTGCACAAGTCCGATGAGATTTTTACTAGACAGGGGCTTCGGGCTACCGCTTAATGTCGCAGACTGTTATACACTTGCCCACATTTCCTCTCACATTCAAACGTCGCACCAAATATCACCACTGAAGAATATAAGGATATATAATATTCCTTAAGTTGTGATGTTTGGTGTGAGGTTTAAATGCAAAAGAAAATGTAGACAAGTGTATAGATTTGTGTTCTCTGGTTCCTGTCTAATCAATATCCACATCACCTATCCTTATATTGCTAAGTTGTGATGTTTGGTGTGAAGTTTAAATGTGGGAGGTAATGTAGACAAGTGTATAGATGTATAATCAGTTTTATTTTGTCTTATTTTCTTAAGTTTTCAAATAAATTTGTTATTTAAAAAAAAAAAATCTTTATAATTATTAATTGGACATTTTTGTTCCAATTTGTACATTCAATTGACAATAATCATTCTTACGTTTGAAGTTAAAGTTTTCACATAATGAGACAAATGTTTTTTAATAAAGAACCATTATGTAACAGAGCTGTTGAAAACTGCATTAATTCTAAAATTTTATGAAACTTAGTACTTTGAAGTTACTGTTGTTTTATTTCCTTTAATCTAAAATTATCGCTTTGTTGGTCAGGTAATTAAAAAACTTACCAGTGGGTTATTGTATTTGTTGATTGTGTTGAGCATTACTTGACTTTATGGATACAGAATTTTATTCTTGAAAAATAATTTTGTAAATACTGTAATTGTAAAAATGAAAAAAGACTTCAATATAAATTCCAGTACAAAAATATACCTGACTTATGACTAATCTGAAAATGTAGATTCCACAAAAATTCAATTGTTATACATGTATGTGAACCGATTCAAAATAAAACTTTCCTATTCATATTCGTAAACCTTTGCAGGTTTTGTTAAAGTTGTCTGAAGTAGTGTATATTGGTTAATAAACTTGTAAATACTTAATGAGTAACTTGTTTTATGAGTATAACCAAAGGATATATGAGGTAATATATTATTGATATGTCTGTTCTTGGTAATGTTGCATGGTTTTTTTTTTTTATTGCTGATCATATTTGTTTTCAAAAAGTTTTTGTCTATTTATCCTAATTTTCAAAATAAAATGTCAGATGAAACCTGCCAAACATACATGAACACCTTGTAAGCATTCCTTAAACCAAATACAGCTGATTTATTGCTTATAGTATCTGAGAAACAGACCAAACTAGATGTGTCGGAAATACACAAATGGCCCCGTCTCAAAAAGTTGAATAATCTGCAATTTCAACAACACATGTGGACACAAACATGCATGGATAGTATCCAGCTCTCCAGAACCAATACTAGTTTGATGAAAAATTTCCTTGGTCAATGAGTAGTTAAATTTCAAGTCCAAAACCCGTAATTTTGGCAAAAATTAGCAGAGTAGAACAAAACTTAAACTCGATCTGTAACACATCATGGTTAACTCACATACGAAAAATTCAGCCCAATATCTGAAGGCGTATAGAAAAAAAATCTGTATAACTGTGATTTTCAACAATTTATCAAAGTCCAAAGCCCGTAATTTCGGCAAAAATTAGCAGAGCGGAACGAAACATAAACTTGAGTTGTAACTCATCATGGTTAACTTACATACCAACAAGAATGTGTCCATAATACACAGATGCCCCACACACACTATCATTTTCTATGCTCAGTGGACGTGAAATTGGGGTCAAAACTCTAATTTGGCATTAAAATTAGAAAGATCATATCATAGGGAACATGTGCACTAAAGTTTCAATTGATTGGACTTCAACTTCATCAACAAGAGTGCACACACTGAAATGTCTCGCCTTCTTTACTAACCATTGATTTTATGTTGATAGTCCTAAATATAAGCTTTACTACAAGTAACACATAAACTTGACATGATCCAAGAAAATGAGGTCAAGGTCAGATAAACCAAACGAGAAATACATGTACACCTTACAATCATTCAATAAACTAAACATAGTTGACCTAATGCTTATAGTTTCTAAGAAACAGTCTTAACCAAGAAAACTTAACATTGACCAATGAACCAAGAAAATGAGGTCAAGGTCAGATGAACCATGCCAGACAGACATGTACACCTTACAATCAATTTATGCATTAAATTTAGTTGACCTATTGCTTATAGTATCTAAGAAACAAACTTAACCATAAAAACTTAACATTGACCAATGAACCCTGAAAATGAGGTCAAGGTCAGATGAACCATGCCAGGCAGACATGTACACCTTACAATCAATTTATGCATTAAATATAGTTGACCTATTGCTTATAGTATCTAAGAGACAAACTTAACCATGAAAACTTAACATTGACCAATGAACCATGAAAATGAGGTCAAGGTCAGATGATACCTGCCAGACAGACATATACACCTTACAATCCTTCCATACAACAAATATAGTTGACCTATTGCTTATAGTTGGAAGAAAAACAGACCAAAACACAAAAACTTAACACTGAGAAATGAACCGTGAAAATGAGGTCAAGGGCAAATAAAACCTACGAGACTGACATGTACATCATAAAATATTTCCATACACCAAATATAGTTGACCTATTGCATATAGTATTAGAAAAAAAGACCAAAACTCAAAAACTTAACTTTGACCACTGAACCATGAAAATGAGGTCAAGGTCAGATGACACCTACCAGTTGGACATGTACACCTTACAATTATTCCATATACCAAATATAGTAGACCTACTGCTTATAGTATCTGATATATGGACTTGACCAAGAAAACTTAACCTTGTACACTGGTCCATGAAATGAGGTCGAGGTCAAATGAAAATTGTCTGACGGGCATGAGGACCTTGCAAGGTACGCACATACTAAATATAGTTATCCTATTACTCATAATAAGAAAGAAATTAACATTACAAAAAAATGTTGACTTTTTTTTCAAGTAGTTACTGAACCATGAAAATGAGGTCAAGGACAATGGACATATGACAGACGGAAACTTCGTAACATAAGGCATCTATATACAAAGTATGAAGCATCCAGGTCTTCTAGCTTCTAAAATATAAAGCTTTTAAGAAGTTAGCTAACGCCGCCGTAGCCGCCGCCGGATCACTATCCCTATGTCGAGCTTTCTGCGACAAAAGTCACAGGCTCGACTAAAACTACCTTGTCCAAAAACTTTAACCTGAAGCTGGACAGACGGACGGACGAACGAACGAACGGACATACGCACAGACCGAAAAACATAATGCCTTTAAGTGGGGCATAAAAATCAGCCCAATATCTGAAGGTGTTTAGAAAAAAATTGCGTATAATGGTTTGTTGTGGAATGACGGAATGACGGACAAGGGTAAAATAATATGGCCCTGACAACTTTGGCCATAACAAAAACTTGACCAATGAACCATGAAAATGATATAAAGGTCATGAAACTTCCCTGTCGGACATGTACACCTTACAATCATTCCATACGCCAAATAAAGTTGACCTATTGTTTCTAGTTTATGAGAAACAGACATAACCATGAAAACTTAACATTTGACAAATGAACTATGAAAATGAGGTCAAGGTCACATGAACCCTGCCAGACCAATATCTTCACCTAACAATCATTCCATACACCAAATAAAGTTGACCTATTACTTACAGTATTTGAAAGACAAATCCATGAAGCTCAACATTGACCAATGAACCCTTAAAATTAGGTCATCTGCCCCCCCCCCCCCCACCCCCAAGATGTGTACACCTTACAATCATTCCATTCAGAAAATGTAGTGGCTGTATTGCTGATAGAATCTTAGAAATATACCAAACCAGAAAAAAATCTACATTATTCAATGAACCAGGCCAGAAAGACATGTACACCTTACATCATTCCAATGAACATTGACCAATGAACCATTAAAATGAAGTCACGGTCAGATGAAACCTGCCAGTCTTACAAGTTAACCTTACAATCATTCCACACACCAAATAACGTTGACACAGGCGATACACAAATTAAAGATAGTCATTTCAGAGCAAAAGTTGCTTAAAAGAGTCATCTGATAGTTTTGGAAGAAGTGAAAGTGGGAAGATCTATACAATCAGTACACTTTTTTTCAGGTACTTTCCCTTAGTATTATGGTTTTAAAAAAATTAGACAATTACTTGATTTTTACCTTTTATGCTCTATTTCTAACCACAATAACCATGCTGGTTTATTAAGGGTGCACCCATTTTGGTTTTGCAACTCCTCCTTATTACAATTAATTGAAATTTGGCATTGGTCAAGGTCATACTTTTCTCAGATTGTTTATCATGTCTTAACACTAAACCTGTTTGATGTGTACCATTTGATACTTTGATCTGGGGGAACGTGATTTATTTATATACCCTTGCTTTCTGAAGTGGCAGTTTATAGTGAGGGAGAAATCAGCTTGCCCTGTTTTCTGAAAATCGCACCTTGCACATTTGGCCATTTGATTTAAACTTTTTTTTCTATCAGTAAACCGTAATTTGACCTTGACATTTAGGTCACCTATAGAGGGGAGGTATGGCAGAAGAAATTCTAAGATCAAAAGGTCTCTGTATGAAAAAATATGGATAAACCAAGCTCCTTCCCATTTTTAATTGCAAATTTCCAGCATGATTGTTATGACATTATAAAGTGACCTTGAAAAGGTGAATTGGTACGACATTAGAAATAGACTTTGAAGAATGAATTGCTATGATATTATAAACAGACCTTGAAGCATGCATTGTTATGACACTATAAACTGACCTGATAGTATAAATTGTAATGACATTATAAATGACCTTGAAGCATGCATTTGTATGACATTACAGACCTTGAGGCAAGAATTGGAATGACATTATAAACTGACCTTGAAGTATAAATTGTTATTACATTATACTGTCCTTTAGAAACATGAATTGGTATGACATTATAAACTGACATTCAAACCTATTTGGTGATAACAATTTAAACTGACCTCCAAGCATGAATTGTTATAAAATTATAAACTGACCTTCAAACATGTATGGTTATGACATTTAAATACTTTATCTTCAGGGTCCATAAGGGCAGCAAAATCACAACTAGGACATCTGTAAAAGAATAATAAGTTTCAAAATAAGACTTCGATAATGATATTCTGGTAAAATCAAAATCAAAAAGTTTGCATAATGTATCCAAGATTCACAATTATTTTTGGAACCTCGACAATCATTTGCTGCTTTGTTATCATCGTTTCAAATTAGCAATGGAAGTAAATCCCTGCAAATATCAGAGGGCTTCAGGTAGTGGCTCTTGAAGTTATTTATTTTTCGATAGACGACGTTGACAGAAATATTTTTTGTTACCAATGTAAACAAGATAGGGGCGATAATAACAAAACCGGCTCAACGTTAAAAATATTTATTTTCGCTTCGTGTTCATTGTTAAATTGAATACTATACACAAAACATTCATTTCAATGATAATAATATATTTTTGTAGTTTTTTTTCTTTTTCCAGATAGCAATATTTTCATGGAGTACATTTTTTTGTGTTTACCAAAAATATATTCATGCGCCAGGACATTTCAATGACTAAAATATAAATTGTACGTTTGATAGAGGTTACGATTGGGGAAATTTTAATTCCTTATCTCTAATCAGGGCTTCGGAATTCCCATTTCCCGGGGAAAGTAAAATCAAAGAGCTGAAAGCTCTGAGGAAAAATGACGCCATTGTCTCTAATATTGGGATATTTTTTGATGCAAGTCTTGATTTTCACATAATTTACCAACTGAATCTGAAGAGTAGGCTGACTGACAATAGAATAGAAATGAATTGTTTTCAATGTCTATGGCTTTTTTATTTGTTTGTCAAGATATATATATATATATGTGTGAAGTGAATATAAAAAAGAAGATGTGGTATGATTGCCAATGAGACAACTCTCCACAGGAATCCAAATGACACAGAAATTAACAACTAAAGGTCACCGTACGGCCTTTAACAATGAGCAAAGCCCATACCACATAGTCAGCTATAAAAGGCCCCGAAATCACAAATGTAAAACAATTCAAACGAGAAAACTAACGGTCTAATTTATGTACAAAAAAGAACGAAAAACAAATATGTAACACATAAAAAAACGACAACCACTGAATTACAGGCTCCTGATTTGGGACAGGCACATACGTACAGAATGTGGCGGGGTTAAACATGTAAGCGGGATCCCAAACCTCCCCCTAACCTGGGACAGTGGTGTAACATGACTATATATATATACTGGTTGTTTCTTTTGTATAAAGAAATAGCTCAAGACTACCTGAACGATCTACAATATTCAAAGTAATATGTGAATTTGTTTCTTGCAATTTCATTATTCTTAGTCAAGGATACATTAACAGACTATCCCCTTCTTTGTAGAATTATTTAACAAAACTATAAAGGGGCATAACTCTAGAACGGTTAAAGTGACGCTACCAAAATTCAAAATTGATCTGTGTTTTGTAGTAATTAGCATTGTGTATAAGTTTCATAACATTTGGTTGAGGCGAACTCAAGTTAGAGAATGGAATCCAATTTTGGGACGTACGTACAGACGTACAGACGGACAAGGGTAAAACTTAATGCCCCCTCCACTATGGCGGGGGCATAATGATGATGAAGAGCGGCCTGCAGTAAGCAAGCTCTTATATATAGCCCACATAGTCCTTATTTAAGAGATAACTTACAAGTGACTTAGTGACATTGTTATTTCTGTTACTTAAAGGATGATCAAATTCTGTAGATTTAGACAATATTATTGTTATACTAGTTTGACAATTACAAATATAGTGACACCATTTATACAACCAAATTTCATTGTTGATATTTATATATATCTATATATAAACTGAAATCTTTAAATGACAACATAAATTATTGCAGAATTATCTTTTTTTCAAATATTTTAATGTCTGTGAGTCATTTATTTCAAATATATTAACCCATACTAAAATAAGGAGATGTGGTTACATGATTGCCAATGAGATAACAGTCTGATAACTATCATCCAGAGTCTAAATAATGTGGCTGCTGGCAGTATAAGTCACTTTACAACATTAGAGCCTAATTTTTTATAAAGACCTAGCTATACCTTTTTCTTAGGCAAGGTGTATTATATAACTCTGAAAACAATACAATCCAGTGTTCTCCCCAGGATTTTTTTATAGCGCTGTGGTATTAGCGCCCGATTTAAGATTGATTCACCTTAAGTTTCATGTTTGTGACTTGATGTTACATTTATTCATAACTACCATGTTAGTTTTATTATATTGAATAGACAAAGACCCTGGATTTTTTATACATGTGCCATGTGCATTAACTGAAATGCAAATAAGTGGCATTTCAATTATTAATTAAACTTTAAAAATTAAAATGCCTAGATAACTTAAATAATTTGATTTTATTACCACCCGTCCCCAAATGTAGCACAGTAGGTATATCTTTTTTTCTCACTTTCAGTTGTTTGACTCATAAACTAGTTATATATCCTTTACAACTTCATAATTTACTTACACATATTTAAGAAGGTTTACAATGACAAAATTGGAATTTCTTCATTAATTTTTATTTTACATTTATCGAATTACAATTTTGCAATTAAAATTGGTATATCCTTTAATATCAAAGGAAGAAATGGAATAACTAAAGTTTTAGCACTTTTGCTCAATGAAATTGTCTCCCTTCACAACTTCCTGTTTACACATTTTGCTGTATCTCTAGGAATCATTAAATGCCATTCCTTATCCAAGTCATCCACAGTTAACTTTGATTTTAAATTAATATTTAATTAATAGTTATTGAAAAGTGGATGGCAAATCTCAATATTTTTTATTTATTTTCAAGAAATTTTCGTATCCGATTTTGAAAATAGCGATGCAAGTAAAAGTAATCGTAAAATACGGGCTTGTAATAAACACCTGTACAACGGGAATGCTTTTCTCCAAACAATACAGGTTCAATAGTTTAGTTGTTAACTCGAAAAAGTAATGAAATAATCATAATGTTTCAAAAATGGACGAGACCACGTTGTCAGAGAAAGGGTAAAATTTTTCATAAATACTATTGGTATGATTCATTGACATACCTGCCAACCTCTGAAACATTCAAAGAGGGAGATCTCCCTCTCAGCTATGACAGCTGAGGGGGAGCTTTTGCGCGAACGACATTTTCAAGTGAAATATATGACGTGTTTATTTATTCATCTACGATACACATATAAGAGTTAATAGATATACTTTGTTTCTTTAAATATGGTTATATCCTACAGAAAGTGTGTTGTTTGTTTCTTTCCTATTTCATCAACTTTGACATTTGAATTCCTTCCGGACAATTTTCACTCCAGATACCTCTGTTATAAGAGAGCAATCATGTTGTTACAGGTGCATTTTGTGTGTGCACATATTTATTTCACTAAATTTGGTTCAATACATATCTTATAAATTTCAATATAAACATTGAATAGAAGTATAGATCTTTTAAAAGATTTTTAAAATATAATTATTTTTTTTGTCTTAAGGCATACAAAATCTTTTAATTGCCATCCTTTTATGATTCTTTGTTTAATTTGTATTTAGTTTATATTGTTTTATCAATTCACATTATTTTAAGAAGGGTAATTTAAAACAGGATTAAACAGGGGAAGTAACCAGAAATTTCTTTGAAGTGTTTTGCTTGAAGCAAAAGTCGTTAATGATCGTTAATTAGTACTATATTTGACACCCAAGATGTGAAGTGAAGCCATTTAATTTCACATGGTCTGTGATTTACAGGTAAAAACAACCCTCATCAGTGAGACAAAAACGTAATTAATGTTGACTTGTCATTCAAGGTTAAAATATCCCAAAGCGGGAGATTCTATACTCCCGCGCGGGAGGATACCGGCAAGCTGGAGATTTCCTGAATTTCGCCATTTGAGAGGGAGTCTCCCGCTCAAAACGGGAGTGTTGGCAGGTATGCATTGAGCACTGCCTACTCCTTTCATAAAGTTTCTGCATCTTATAATTCTTTTTAAAGTGAAGAAATCCAGAAAGAAATGAAGTCTTATTGACAAAAAAACTTCTACAATTATCGCCATTTTATTCTTTAATAGAACTGGCCCCTGCGATATTTGACCTATATTATGTCTGCAGCAGTAACTTTGTAAACAAATACATACGCACCGCGTGGATATAACCATAATTACTAATTTTCGATTCTTAAAAACTTCTCAAATCTTGATAAAGACCATTATCTTTCGTATGATTTCAAGATGATTCCGATTTTTATTTTTTGAATGATTTCAAAGTTCCGCTGACAAGAAAGGTAAACATTCTTTCAAGAACTATTTTCTAGCGATAGCGATTTGTTATCACTGGTATATAAAAAGTCGAAAACCATAACAATACAGATCTATTTATATTCTAATATTTTTACGGATTGTAAAGACATGCACATAAAAACGAAAGCTCGTATAAATATGAAAAATATACCAAAGGGATAGCTCAAAATACCATTTAATAACAATAAACATATGGACAGGTTAAGAATGAAATTCTGTACAGGACATAGGTATGTAAAATATGGAATCGAGTTCGGAAGGCAGCTTGGAAGCGACCGGAATCGATAAAATGAAATCCGGTCGATGGTATAGCAAAATTGACGCTTTGACAGTGTCATTTTCCAAAAATTGTCAGGTAAGCGAAAACGCAGGTACCAATTTCCCGTCGGGTAAGTAAATCGTCTTTATGTGGTACTTTCCGGTGTGTTGTATTCTTGTTCTACAAAGTTGGTAGTTGGGCAAAATCTAGTTTAGGATAAACATATTTTAAAAGGAATTTATTGGTGTATAAACTGGACCAAGTCACTCACAAACAAATAAAAGTCCTTCAGATGTTTATCAGACTTTTATTTATTTGAGAGCGACTTGGTCCAGTTTATACACCAATAAATTCCTTTAAAAAGGCGTTTAATCCCATAATAAAAGATGAATTGAATACACAAAATTAAGCTATCATGTTTTTTTTTTTGGTGGAAAGTCATCATGCAAAATATGAAAAAATTAATTAACAATAACAGAAGAGTTGTCTACACAGACCTTGTATGATATACAGCATTAGACTAGAAAACTGACATGTCATTAACAGCCCTGCTTGTACATTTTTATGCGAGGAAAAGAGACTGATGCATACAATTAAATGTTCGTAGGTTGTAAATTTTTATAAATTTTGACACCAGCAATTAATTCAAGATCTGTTCCTGATTAATATATGTTTTGTTAAAATCCAAGCATTGTTTTTTGGTGAGCATTTTCATAAATGGTAAGCAACCAATAATTTTGACACAAAGAGTCATATTGTAACAAAAATTTAGAAAGCATGCATAAGGAAAAAATTTTATAAACCACCTTCCATACATTATTCTTGCAAAATTTGGTCAATATTGTCCATCTGCTATAAGAGAAGATCATAAAATTGTTTTTTTTTCCAATAGGCTTCAACAGAAACTGATCTTCCATTGTAGCCACGCAGATAAGCACAAAATAAGATTTTTTTGTAAGTAGAACCCCCCCCCCCCCTCCCCCTTTTCAACTCATCAATCCTAAAGACTTTGAAAAGATTTGGCATTGTGGAATCAGAGGAGAAGAAATATAAACATTTGACTAATCAGAATCAAGAATTTTATATGTTACCTCACTACACTTGATATTTTCTATTTTACCTGACTAGATCTGCTAAATCTGCTAAGTTGATATTTTCTTCCTGGACTCTATCTTCATACTTGGACAAAATATTACTGGACAGAGCTTTCTGTAATTGACCTACATATATACAATAACTACATGTTCATACATTTATCGGTTCAATAAATTTCAGAAAAAAATTGACATTGTTGCAAAAACATTTATCTATTTACCTGCAATCGCCATATATTTTGTCTATGGTAGATTTAATAATAATTTTTTTGAAATTGAGAGAATATTTACATTTGGCCATTTGAATATCCTTTGTCAAAATACACCCTTATTGTGCATATTGAAATTGCTGCAAAAATAAAATGGGCTATTTAGACTTGGTGTTTATCCAGAAGCAAATAAAATGGCTCTGTAGACATCCCCTTAGGCATAAATATAAGTATTGTGTCAATTGTAACTGTTAAAAATCCCATAACTCTGGAATGACAAACCATAAAATTTTCAAAATAAAAAGGAGTACCTACACCAATCCCAACATCAATGTTAAGTTAAGTCCCACTCTGGAACCACAGAGCAAAAACAATTCAAAATCAAAAGGAAGCTTTCTTCTGTCAATCCTGAATCATCTATTGACGTTTTGTTCAATGAAGAAAAGAAGGATGGAAGGGCATTCAAATGACATTGGTGTACCACAATGTATATATATGTCACATCTTTCCATGTGCGTATAAAAGTCATAGCTTCAATACTATATTTTCACTGGACCAACAAACCCCTTAAACTTTTGATGCAGTAAAGGTTTATGAGCTATGAGACAAAGGATTTGCTCGTGATGATCCAACAGTCACAGACAAATGTAAACTCTACCTATTGTTGAGTTGTATGTCAAATACTGTAAATTCAGAAATTATTGCGAGGTTTTTATTAATGCGAATAATGCGAGCGGCTGACGATCACAATAATTAAACCTCGCATTCTTACTTTCATTTTTCCCTCGTCAATTTGTGATTGATTTATCTCCCTTTGTTCAGTGATGTGATGTAAGTAACCTTTCACCTGGGGCATTTAAGGGTAATGTGTTTTTACAACGTATTTCCGCTAATCTGTGTAATCAGTGAAGCCAGGTGACATTTTTATAACACTTTGACTTTTAATTGGAAATGTGCCTGTAATATGTTTATGTTTGATCAAAAGCTGCCGGGAATTTTTATGAATGGGAAAATTACTATTGACATGCTGTTCTATTCTTGTATCCAGTGACAAATTACGATGTTACTTTATTTTGTTAATATTGTTTGTAATTGTGCAGTGAAGCATGTGTATTTTCGGTATAAGTAAACACCTTTAGAAAGTGAGAAATAAAAACAAATTATCTAATAATATTTATTACAATAAATAAATAATAGACAATAAAATAACAAAAATCATCATTAGATAATATTGTTCATAAAGCACAAGTACAGCAATAGTTTTTTCAAGAGTCAATTTATAAGTCATCACAAGCTACTATTGTTCATTAAGCACAAGTTCAACACTACATGTAGTTCATTAAAAATACAATTAATTAACACTTTATACAGTCACTTATACCAGACTTTTTCCAACCTAGCAAGATAATGTCTTTCTTTGACTTCAACTCGTGGAACACTTTACTCAACCATTTAGCATGTAACGGCTTGAGAACAGAAAGTCTTAGGTCAACCTTGTTGATGGTGGATGAATCTTTTAGATCTTCAGCAACCATATCTGCGTACCAGTTTGTAAATTCGTTTTTCATAGCAGCTTTGAGTTCACCATTCACGCTGAGATCCATTGGCTGAAGTTCCCCAGTACAACCCGCAGTACGAAAACGTGTTGAATCCGAGCCTTCGACAAAGCATCTAGGACTTCTTGACACCTGTGTGCAACGAAAAAGGTCAAATATGGCAATTGAATGCTGTCGTATCGGCAGGTCTAACTCTTCTTTAACTTTGTCGGTATACGGCACAAGGACAGTCTCAATGTAACGCACCATACTCTGTTCGTTACTCCAGTGGCTCTCTGTGTGGAAAACGTCCCAGTCAGAGGGAAACGGATATTTTGCGTGACACTGGTCTGTTTTACCTTGGTATAAAATCTGAGGTGGTAAGAGACAACCATCTGATGTGCTACCTAGTAAATCTGTAATCTCGCGTTTATCTTCTAAACCGATAATGTCAACTTGCTTTGAGCCCTCCATCTCTAATGTCCAGTTAGATACAGGGACGATCTTTAACCCAGTCTGGTCAAAGTTGAAGATCAGTTGTGGAGGCATGTTGTACTTGGTAACGGTCTCGGTGATGATGCGGATGAAATTCACTTTTTTGGTGCTCAAAGTCATCTGGCAGTTTTCTGGCTGCTTTGGTACCTTTTCGCTTGATGTACCAAGTCTTTTTAGGAAGGATACGGCCCATGTCTTGGTGATATGTATCGATCCACCAGCTTCACTGAGTAGTGTGGGGTTTTTGTGTCTGACAAGTCCACGGGCTGTTGCAATAACGATAGCTTGGTTTACGATGCCACCTGCTTCTATGATGCTGGGTATGTGGGCTCCTATATCTTTGTCTAAATCACCAAGAAGAAGTGGTCTACCACGTTTTTCTGGTGTCAACGCATTGACAGGTTGGTGTTTAGATTCTTTTGAGTGTACAAGATATTTCTTTTTCATGGCTTGTACTGCACTTTCTTTAATGTCAAGTTGGAGGTCTTTGCTAAATTTGCGGGCAGCGGCAACATTGCCATGTTCAGTGGCGTGTTTTGCCATTTTAGCACGGGTCTCTGGTGTGTAGTGGTTGTTGCTGGCTTTTCTCTTGACCCCCTGTTTTATGCTGGTAGTTGACTCATCAGTAGCAAGAGAGTTAAAAATTTCAGTGTTAGTGGCTTTTATCTTATCAGCTGCATCTTTGTTGATAGCGTGTTCAGGATCGGGCAACCTCAAGACGATGTCGTCAGGGGAGCGTTTATTTGTGACGTACTTTACACATGGACATTTTTTAACTTTAATGGCGTTTAAAAAAAATCATTCCTATTTATGTATAAATGAGTCTTTGTTAATCAACGCTGATTTATTGGATGTGTAATTAAATTTATTTGTAACAATGTGCCACAAGCCTAACACTTTATGATGAATTTTATTTTTCTCAACTTCGCTTGTATGCATAAAAGGACTCGGAAGCCAAACCTAATTTACCTCAGGTGATTGTGATTATCAACTTTTAATATTGTAATTTATTTTCCTTTGAAGCTAAAATATCCTATAATTACCCAAGCCGGGCCTTGCTCTACACTAATCTTCTGCACGTGGTCAATGTTCGATTAAGTTTCTAGATCCCCAAAGTAGGCATGTACAACAAATACAGTACTAGTAATTGAACTTAGTTTCTAGATCCCCTTTACAAAGTTACATCAGATAAGAATTGTGTATTCAATCACAGAAAACATACGAAAGGTAACTTGATCCCTAGATCAAAACAAACATTTTGCGAATAAAAAATGTAAATATCTGTGACTTACAATAATATTTACCTTAAAAAAAAATTTTTGAGGTCAGCAAATCGCAAAAATAAAACCTCGCATTTTTGCCGGTGGTCGGCGAATCGCAATAATAAATGCACGCAATAATTTCTCAATTTACAGTAATTAATCAGTTACTAAGTAATGTAAACTTACTCATGGGGTAGGAAGCATCACACCCATCTGTCATACACAATAAGTCTGCCTGTAAACACAAATAATGTTAATTAAATATACACCTTCATAAACTGTTGACACAGGGATATATCTCACATATGTGTAATTTGGAACAGTATAATGCAAATGTTGAAATTTAAATGGAACTTTAAACAGGTAAACTACTCAAACATTTCATGAAATGTAACTTAGGGGTCAAGGCCAAAATATCTCCATGGAAATTAAATGTGTCAATTATAAAACTAATCCATACTAAAGATAAATGATGTACTATCAATGGTTCCTCTTTAACTGACCTAATTACAAACTAAATTATTGATGCTGCTGACTCGGGTATCATCATGCCTTAGTCTTACTTCCCTGATTTTGTTAAGGCAAGACAAACAACTGTCAAGTCTTTTAAGGTATTCTGGGATTTTCTACTTCACCTTGTATCACAACTAATTGGTCCAGTTTGTTTTTTTAATGAAGTCAGAAAATCTTAATGCAGAAAGGTAATTTACTTGAGACCTCTTATTTAAATGAAGAAATATATTTGTCAGATTTTGTTTTATAGGTAATATCTCTATCATGTCTATACAAAATAGAAAAATAAACAATCAATTTAAAAACAATAACACTGAAATGTCACTACTGTTTTAGTGATCATGATTCAATTTATGTTGAAAGTCATAAAGAAAAAGGTTATACAAGTATTATGTAAAAATAACATTATCAATGATACACTTAAATGAGGTCAAGTTCAAATGAACCCTGTCAGACAAACATGTACACCTTTCAAGCTTAAGGTTACATACCTTCCCGTGTCCGAATACAGACTCTTTGGCATATCTTTCAAGACACTCCTGGCAAAACAGGTGCCCCTCGTAACACTGAATCATCATCTCAAATGCCACTTCACCATAGCAACAACCACACTCTATCAACTGACCACTTTCCTCATACTCATGTTCGTTAACACTGACTGCCATTATATGGTCCTGTTCCTATAAATAACAATAACATTTTACATGTATGAAGCAGAGTTTTGATCTCAGAAATGTTAATTTTATAATAGTTCTAATTATAACAATAAATTAAACAATACTGATATCTTGAAACTTTATTTTCAATCATATTTCATTTCAAATTGTAAGACTTTTGATAATGTATTTTTTTTCTAAACAGTAATAAAATGCTTCGCTGAGCGCAGCCTGATACGACCACAGTGGTCGAACCCTGAACAGTTGGGGCAAATTTGGACACAATATTCAAGCTTAATACTAACTGAATTTGGATTGTGATCAAATTTTTGACATAATATAGGTTTCTGACACAAAATAAATGTGGTCATAGATCTTACAAATCTAATGCGCAATACTGTGCAATTGAATATTTCTTCTTGAAACTTTTCAAAAATTTGAAATTTTGAAAATTTAAAAAAAAAAATATGAACCCTTTAAAAAAAATTGGAAACCCCCCCATCCCCCCAAACTTTTTGAATCCCCTTTTAGCATTAACCATCAAACTCAATTGCAGTCTTTCCATTGTAGTATGGAACCTTGTAGTACAATTTTAGAGAGATCCATACACTTAATCACAAGTTACTGTCTGGAAACTAGAAAAATGCTTTTTTTTAAATTAAAAAGCCTCCATCAGTAACATTAAATAGTAATATCTAAAAATAAAATTCCTTCACATACATAATCATGGCTATAATTAAATTACCTTTATTAAACATTTTTAAAATAGTAACTTCTAAAAACAAATTGACAGCTAATCACCTAAAGACAATACATTTCTTTATAAATAATTTACAAGCAGTGTAAGGGAGGTAATTTGACAATATGTGTTTGAATTACCTCCCTTACACTGCTTTAAAATTATGTTTTGTACTTAAGTATTTGTCCATTAACCTGGAAACCCTTGTTTTTCCCTCTTTTTTGCCCCTAATTCCTAAACAGTTTGAGCCATAAGCCCCCAAAGCAAATTCTCACCATCCCTTTGTGATATGGTAACTTGTGGTATAAATTCAGAGATCCATACACCATTTCACAAGTTATTGTCTGGAAACTAGAAAAATGATTACTTGGGCCCCATTTTGGCCCCTAATTCCTGAACTGTTAGGACCATAACCCCCAAAATCAAGCCCAACCTTCCTTTTGTGGTCATAAACCTTATGGTAAAATTTCATAGAAATCCATACACTTTAACAAAAGTTATTGTCCGGAAACCAATATGTCTTCGGATGACGACGTGATACCAATATACGACCGCAAAATTTTTGTGGTCGTATAAAAACATGTACTTTTTCATATCTGTTTAATAAATGACTTTGGATTTAAAAACTTTAATTCTTACCAGTCTCAAGTCTGAGATGGAATTTGAATGACCCACTACATAGTCATTCTGTTCAGTTGTACTTGAGAAAAGTGTGACAGAATGGATGAACGGGGGAACAGATGGAAGGGCAAGAAGTATGCAATATAGCCACACTCTCAGAAGTTTGAAATATAATTATTTAAGCAAGACCAGGAAATTATGTCAGAAGCTGTTTCATATTGAAGGACCAAGGCCATAAAAAAGAATAGGTTGGTTTGCCCTAACCCGACCGACCCGTAAAAAAGCACCCGAGTCAAAATCTTTTTTTAATCAAAATTTGCGATGTTTTTTTTTTGCGGCGTTTTGTCGTATCCATATCTGTCTTGAGTTTGTTGCATAGAATAACCTGATCCGATCTGACTGGGCTTTATCACAGGACAATTTGTGTTATGTATTAAAGCCTCCAATTGATACGGATGAAAAACAACATATTACTGTCTAGTACAAATAAAGGTCGGATTAAAATCAAAACCCGTAGTTTCCAAAAATTCTATCGTTTTGAAAACGCAAAAACATGGAAAGAGGTGTTTGATAAAGTGTGTGACGACGATTTCATCCTACGGAAAACTGATGAAATTTGTGTGACTGTCTCTGACCGATCGGGACACTCGTTTGAGCCCGACTTTGAGGAACCAATCCAAGTTGTCCAGCAATTTGATTCAGCATTAAAATTTGATTAAAATGATATTATTCTGACAGAAGTTCTGTCAACAGTGTTTTGTTCAAGTGTTTTGTATTTGGATTTTGTATTCAAATAAACTTCTTCTTAGTATGAGCCTCATTTAATTAGAACCTTCAAATATATATGGAGTTTTTCCTTAACTTTAAAATTTTAAAGAATAAAACAAAAACGTTTTTTCCAACATATGTACAGCACATATAAATATAAAACAATAAAAGTATCATGCATGGCATATTTACAGGGACCTTTTTATTAATTATTTAATTTCATTTTCATAGCTTTTAATATTTGTCTAGAGCTTCTTTATATTTCTTACAATTGTTATATGACAGACTCTGTGTCGGTATATATATGTCACTTATGATAATCACTATTTTCATTTGTTTGTCATTTCCTCCATTTTGAGATATATGTATATACCTATATGCAATATATGTCTTGCTAATTTTCAATCTTTCTATATGCATTTGGAATAACATATTTCTGGTTTTGTTTTCAATATTTTCCTGGAATTTTTCACAGTTATCAAACAGCTCCTTATATTTTGAACATTCTATAAGCAATTGTACTATCGCAGTTTTGTTCGTGAAGGTGCAGTTCCATTTTGTTGGTGTGATTTTATCAGTGATCTCTTTTCTTATTTCAGGGAAATATTTTTCTCTCGTAGTACTGAGTATAAACTCATTTAAAATGTTTGTCTGTATTTACAATGTAAACATTCAGAAAAAAGTGTGAACATTGAGGTGGAATGCTGAAAAAAAACTGTTAATAGAAAAGATCTTTATAGTACATATAGATCCTGGCATATATGTGTCTGACAATTTATACAAAACTTATAATAGTCTTTCATTTTAAAAGTAAAATAATTTTTCCCCTATTTTTCTCTAAAAGTATAAAAAAAAAAAGAATTTCCCTACCTACATACCCACACTGGAGACTGGTGGGTAGGGTTTGGGCAAACAGAAATATTTTTAAGTCTGGCCCAATTAATTGTGGCAAAAATTTGTAATGTAAATTCAAGGGGACCAGTGAGGTTGAAAAATGAAACATAAGAGCACTCCTATTTCATCAATATACAATACATCTTATCATTATTTGTCCTCCATTATGGGACACCACAAACATTTCTATTTCATTTTGACATCATAAGTGAAAATGTCTGATGCTACATATGGAAAGTGATTGTAGAATGATGTCAATAAGTCTATTATTACAAATTTTCGATGGTGTAATAGGTACAGATTATTTCCTTTTTCGTCTTATCTTGTTAATTTATTTCCTTTATAATATTTCATTTGCATTAACCATGTTAACTACACTCTTTTTAGAAAAGACATTTTAGGTCTTTTATTCATTTTAAATTTTCTTTAATTTTGCATCAAAATTGATTATTATTGACCATTCTGAAGAATTTATTCAATAGAAGTATATAATCCTATTTCAATATGAATTAATCAGGATAAGACTGGTTGCCTGTCTGAAGTGTGATGCAAATTATGACCTATATGCAAGCCTCGTGGCATCGTGATGACTAAGCTGACCTTGTTGGCTAGATATAGTATGATGGATGGTTTCTGCCTGAAAATACTTTAGCTGTTTTGGTGTGTTAAATGTAGGAGGTGTTTAACTCTTAATTTTCTTTTCATTTAATTGTTACTTGTTTTACTGCCTTGAGTGTCAATGGTATTTCAAACGAGAGGGTGTTTCTCTGCTATTGTCCTGAGATGAGATGAAGCCGAGAAACATCTTCTAGTTTGAACGGCCATTGTTAATCTGTTTATTGCTGTTTTTCTAGGCAACATCAATGACGTAGGCTCATGAAGTCATACATTCTCTTTCTCATTGCTCAGAAAAAATATGCTGTTGCTAAGGGGTCGTTAAATACTAGTGATAATTTTCTATTTCAAGCAAGGAGCATGATATGAAAAATTATCAACAAAAAAAGATCAAAGGAAAAAATACACAAAATAGCGATAATTGCAAATCCCATGTACCTTTGTTTCTTCCTCTGTTTTAATTCTGATAAATTCTTTCTCCTGAACTAGCTCTGGAGAGACAGGAACTTCACTTCTCAAAGGTCGACCACACTTTAGAAACTGCATGCTGATAGTTCTTTCACCATAAACTGAAGATAATTTATACTTTAAAATAGTACCAAATCAATTTTCAAAACATGCCTTAGATGAAAAAACATCATCTAAATGTTGCAATAATAGAGATATCAGGTATAGGAAAATACATCAAATAGACAGAAACTAGATTATGCATATCAACTGTTGACACAGATTTGTCTTGCCTGTGTGTAATTTCTATTGTATCATCCAAATATTGAAATATAAATATTGAAATATAAATGACATTACCGATGCCAGATAAAACAAGTCTAAGCCATGCCTCCACCACTTCATCTTTATATTGGCTCCTAGATCTATAACGATATCTATATATTACACTTACCTCCATCCACTTTAATTTCTGCCTTGGCTTGAGAATAAGGGTGCAGTAACGGGTTACTTTCTGAAAATATACAAATTAACAGTCACCAGATATAACATGCTGTGGTTCTATAACTGTTGGTGCTTAAACTAAGATTCATCTCTTTCAATCAGCCACTTGTTCCTGATGAATGAAAAGAAATTTAGTGAACAAGCTTACAAACTGCATGACCCTCTCACACATAATATTGCCCCCCTCTATGAAAGTTCTACCCCATTTCAGACTGTTCTTATTTATGAAGGTTTAGGTGAGTGAAAACAGCTCACTACTAAATTAATTCTAGTCTTAAACAGTCATTTTGATCTTGACATCATCTGATTAGTCTGAACAGTAAATAATTCAGTCATGTTCAGTCTTTCAGTCAATTTCAAGACTTATCCACTGTGGTAAATTCAGTACTGTTTAAAAAAATTTACCTGCAATCAATTTAGTACTAGTATGGTTCAGAAGCTTTTCAGACAACTCAGTATAATCTTGATGTGTACAGGTAAATAACAATTGCTGAACAGTCTGAACAGATCTTAATTGACTTCCAGCAAATTGTCTGAACAGTACTGAATTTGCTGCAATGGATAAGTCTGAAAATTGACAGAAAGACTGAAAACTATTAATTTATTGTTCAAATCAAACTGTTTATCGGTGGCTGTACTTATAATGATGGGTCAAAAGCATTATATATACCCGCCACAACTTCGTTGCATGGAGTATGATTAAGTGTACAACATCGGAGTATAGGACAGATGGGCGGATACATCCTTTTTTCTTTAGAGCTGTAAATGATACTCTAAACTTCGATAAAAGCTAATTTAGAGAGGTACTCTTAATCCATAGATAATTCCTCATTAAAAATAAAAATATAACAATGATGAAATCATCCCCTTAAAATTCAGGCTATTGGTAATAAGGAACAAACAATGATCTTTTTAAATAGGATACAAAATGATTCTTTTTCATGTATTTCGCTAAATTGACTGAAAACTTGTTTAAATCAATGATTCAATTCAGATATAACTTCATTTTTGAATGTTTTATATTTTCATCTTGGGTAAGAGATGATCATGTGACAAATAAAAGTGGACGATTAGGACAATACTTTTTCCAAAATCTTATTCTTATAACTCATCTTTTATCTAATCAAATCCATTAGCCCTGTTTTTTCTGTATTTTCAATAAATCAGCTTTTATCTACGCAAATTCATTAGCCATGTTGTTTTGTGTTTCCAATAACTCACCTTTTATCTTAGTGAACTCCTGAGCCCTGTTATTCATGTTTCCAATAACTCACCTTTTATCTTAGTGAACTCCTGAGCCCTGTTATTCATGTTTCCAATAACTCACCTTTTATCTTAGCAAACTCCTGGGCCCTGTTATTCATGTTTCCAATAACTCACCTTTTATCTTAGCAAACTCCTGAGCCCTGTTATTCATGTTTCCAATAACTCACCTTTTATCTTAGCAAACTCCTGGGCTACGTTATTCATGTTTCCAATAACTCACCTTTTATCTTAGCAAACTCCTGAGCCCTGTTATTCATGTTTCCAATAACTCACCTTTTATCTAAGTGAACTCCTAAGCCCTGTTATTCATGTTTCCAATAACTCACCTTTTATCTTAGCAAACTCCTGAGCCCTGTTATTCATGTTTCCAATAACGCACCTTTTATCTTAGCAAACTCCTGGGCCCCTTTATTCATGTTTCCAATAACTCACCTTTTATCTTAGCAAACTCCTGGGCCTTGTTATTCATGTTTCTAATAACTCACCTTTTATCTTAGCAATCTCCTGAGCCTTGTTATTCATGTTTCCAATAACTCACCTTTTATCTAGACATGTTAGAAAACTCCAGAGCCCTGTTATTCATGTTTCCAATAACTCACCTTTTATCTTAGAGAACTCTTGAGCCCTGTTATTCATGATAGCTGTCATTACTTTATGAGAAGGAGCATAGTGCCCATTAAAACATTTCATAATGTTTCTTATATCTTTAAGAGAGATCTGAAAAGACAAAATTATGGTTTTTTTGTGTGTTTCATTAGAAATTTGCATTTTTCACATGAAGAGTAAGATATCAACGACATTATATAGCATCCATGAGTTCTCCAATGTAATTAATTTAATGTTAGTTGTAAGATGTTAAATTGCACACTACCAAAGTTGAGATAGCACTATCTAATCAAAGTGATTGTAAGCACCGTAGGGTAAAAATTGCTTTAATTTATAAGTGGGAAGTAAAATTAGACATTGCATTGTACAAGCATTGGTTGAAAGTTGGTTCAACTACAATTATGGACAAAGGAAGATAACTCCAATTTTAAAGATAACTTTAAAAATGACATCATTAATATTTTTAGAACAGATATTAGATTCCTGCACCTTGCACACGTTATGTAATTTTCTTGACAAGTATAACATCATTTTGTAACTTGAAAATCTAAGCATATATTTCATTGATGAATTTCTAGAAATGTTCATGGATAGGATGTTTAGAATGTTATGACCAATGCACTATATTTTGCGTATCTCAAAAGTAGTGATAAACCTTGGAAGATTTAGATATCAAGTCAGTGCCATAGGGTTTTGATTGCATTTCCTGCAGTAACCTGAATATAGAACGTCCTGTTTGGCACTGTTTGATCTCAAATTCAACTGGAAATGTTCCATCATTTTTTTTGTAATGAAATTCATACATATGTCATATATAACAATTGTAAACATTCAAGCTCATAACATACAATTAAACCTCTCAAAAGACATTTGGAAAAATTCCATTGCTGGTAAAAACTATTTTATAAACAAAATGTATTTTTATAGAAAAGTTTGATCTGTTTCTTACCAAATAAAAACAAGAGTGTGTAACCATATGACACATTGTGCTGTTCACACTATTACATATTACCATGTTCATTGAACCATAATTTGGCATAGTGTTTAAAAAATTAACATCATAATGAACATATGGACTGAAGTACTATAACTACATGGTAAACCAGGAATCTGTTGTTCAGTAGTTGTCGTTTGTTAATGTGGTTCATAAGTGTTTCTCATTTCTCGTTTTTTATATAGATAAGACCGTTGGTTTTCCTGTTTGAATGGTTTTACACTAGTCATTTTTGGGACCCTTTATAGCTTGCTATTCGATGTGAGCCAAGGCTCCCTGTTGAAGGCCGTACTTTGATCTATAATGGTTTACTTTTACAAATTGAGACTTGGATGGAGAGTTGTCTCATTGGCACTCATACCACATCTTCTAATATCTACAAACTTTGAATTTTGTATGGGACAGACTGAAATGCCTATAAACATATGCCCGTCCTACCATCTGAGCAGATGAGTCTTCGCTCTTTCTTCTAAATACAATGTGCTAACAGGAAAAGATATACATGATATAAGATGTACTGCCCAACTGGCCAAACAGGCAAGTTCCCTCCTAAATTAACTTGCCTTTTACATAATGTACATAAATAAAATTTACTGACTAAGTTAAAATTAGGTTCAGTTTGTTCTTGGCCAGTAGGCAGCCTCTTATTTATACCCCTTTGTTCAATCAAGAAGCAATAAATACCAATTATCAAGTCTTTGGTTTGACCTGTGCAAGAATTGAAACCACTTTGGTGAGGCCAGCACTCTATCATGAGACCACAGATATGGTCCACCATAGATTTTAAATCAATAACAAATCACAACAAGAATGTGTCCATAGTAAACAGATGCCCCACTCCCACTATCATTTTCTATGTTCAGTGGACCGTGAAATTGGGGTCAAAACCCTAATTTGGCATTAAAATTAGAACGACCATATCATAGGGAACATGTGTACTAAGTTTCAAGTTGATTGGACTTCAACTTCTGACATAAATAAAATTGAGAATGGAAATGGGGAATATGTCAGAGACAACAACCCGACCAAAGAGCAGACAACAGCAGAAGGCCACCAATGGGTCTTCAATGCAGCGATAAAATCCCGCACCCGGAGGTGGTCCTCAGCTGGCCCCTAAATAAAATTGTGTGCTAGTTCAGTGAAAATGGACGTCACACTAAACTCCAAAACATATAAATGAACTAAAATTAAAAAAACATACCTTGACCAAAAACTTTAACCTGAAGCGGGACAGACAGACGGTTGAACGAACGAACAAACGGATGCACAAACCGAAAAACAAAATGCCCCTCTACTATCGTAGGTGGGGCATAAAAATGTAGAAACAAAACATAACAATTAAAAACAACACATGATTCCTAAATTTGCCACAGGTACTTCTACATTTGGTCAGTATCATTCAGTTAAATGTTTCCTACATTTGCCACAGGTACTTCTACATTTGGTCAGTATCATTCAGTTAAATGTTTCCTACATTTGCCACAGGTACTTCTACATTTGGTCAGTATCATTCAGTTAAATGTTTCCTACATTTGCCACAGGTACTTCTACATTTGGTCAGTATCATTCAGTTAAATGTTTCCTACATTTGCCACAGGTACTTCTACATTTGGTCAGTATCATTCAGTTAAATGTTTCCTACATTTGCCACAGGTACTTCTACATTTGGTCAGTATCATTCAGTTAAATGTTTCCTACATTTGCCACAGGTACTTCTACATTTGGTCAGTATCATTCAGTTAAATGTTTCCTACATTTGCCACAGGTACTTCTACATTTGGTCAGTATCATTCAGTTAAATGTTTCCTACATTTGCCACAGGTACTTCTACATTTGGTCAGTATCATTCAGTTAAATGATTCCTACATTTGCCACAGGTACTTCTACATTTGGTCAGTATCATTCAGTTAAATGATTCCTACATTTGCCACAGGTACTTCTACATTTGGTCAGTATCATTCAGTTAAATGATTCCTCAATTATCTCCTTGTATATACTGTTCTACATTCAATGTATCTTTTAGTTTGTTTTTAATCACCTACCCATTTGAATTCTGACTGTAGTAGCATCTCACACTGGTTTCTGTAGGAACCAGTAACATGGCTGCCGTATTCTTTGTAATAATCAATCTTAGGTAATGTCTGTAAATAAAATCACTAGCTTTTAATGTTTTTAAAACAATATATTTTTACTGTGCATATTTAGGATTTTTACTAATAAGCTGTTTTCAATCGAGAAAAAGTAACAAGTTAGACAATGGGACACTGTGGATTTTTAAAATCAAAATTTTGCTACACGAGACCGATGTTTAATTTCTAGAGCATTGCGACATTTCCAGAACTTATCTCTGTTACATGAGGCTGAGATTTACTTTTTTAAGAAAATGTGGATTTTCTAGAACCTATCTTTGTGATCAGAGGCTGAGATTTATTTTTTAGGAAAATGTGGATTTTCTAAAACCTATCTTTGTGATCAGAGGCTGAGATTTATTTTTTAGGAAAATGTAGATTTTCTAGAACCTGTCTTTGTGATCAGAGGATGAGATTTATGTTTAAAACTGTACTTGTGGATTTTCTTTTGTAACTGTAGGTTGAGGTTTATTCTCAAATTGTGCAAGACATTGTTTATTTTCTAGAACTTACCTTTTTTACCTGAGGTTGAGGTTTTTTTTTGCAGGTAGCACTCCAGAGTTAGAAAATAAAAATTAAAATTGAACACCAAAAGAGTTAAATTCCTTGCTTTCTAATAACATTAAGCCAACTGTTTGTATCATACATGTGCATATGATTCACTTTTTGTGTATCCATGGCAACTACCATAAAATATTGCAAAAAGGGGGATGAAAATGTCACATATTCCCCAAACTTTGGTTCAAACTATAATTTCTATTCTTTGAGTTGATACATTTTCTGAATCAAATGACATTAATCTACCAAATGAGCACATGAACATTAGGTGCCTTTTGCCTCATTTTTCGAGACCTTTGAGGACATTGTTGTTTTTCTAGAACTTACCTGGGGTTGAGGTTTATTTTCAGACTTTTAAGAACATTGTAGATTTTCTAGAACTTACCTTTGGTACTTGAGGTTGAGGCTTATTTTCAGACTTTTTAGGATATTGTGGATTTTCCAGTATTAACATACAGGCATTGTTGATAATCATCTGCCAGTTATGATCTTGTAATCTGTCATACAACTGGTCAACATAAGTTGGGTCAATATCTGGAAACATGTTGGTCTACAAAAATATTCTGTTTTATAATCTAGACTAAAATGTCAGTCATAATGTATATAATGTTTGTTGGTGTTAAGGCGACTTTAAGCAACCTTTTCCCATATCATGGCGGTCAGTTTTTATCAGTTGAGGAAATTGGAGTAGCTGGAGAGAACAGGAAAACTGACAATCCTCGTTTATTAAAATAGAAGTGGAACACACCTTGCAAAGGAAAAGGGGGTTAAGGGTTCATTCTCAATACTATTGTAATCACTGTACGTGAACTTCAAGACCAGTGGGCAACTGATACTTATTTTTTGCTATTTGTATTGTTGAAACGCTGTCAATGTATATGAGTCATATATACATTGACATATATACCATGTATACCCCACGTCTCCTTTCAATTCATATTCATTTCCTCATTAGTTGTTAAGGTATGAAATATTTTAAAAAATGGCTTATTCTCAGTGGTCAACGTGACCAAGAAACGTACTTGATTTACTTAGGTCCAGTGGCAAATATTTCAAGAACATTTAGGACAACATAGAAATGTCATACCTCATAAATAATGAAATGAACTAGTTATTCTTTTTAAAAATTCACACTTTATCTTAGAATCTTGTTATTTAACATGTTTAGGATGTTTTTCTATATCTCTTTTTGATCGCGTTATTTTTCAATTGATATTTCATAGTGTGTCTTTGTTGAAATGTTACGCTACTGTTTCAGGTTAGGGTGAAGGTGGCGCCTGTTAAAACCTTCAAACAGCTGCATTTGTATGCACCTGTCCTAATTCAGGAGCCTGTTGTTCGGTTGTTGTTTGTTGATGTGGTTCATAAGTGTTTCTCCTTTCTCGTTTTTTATATAGATAATTAGCTATACTAACAATGTAAATTATAGGGTGCAAAAAAAATCACTATCTGCTTGACAGCATATCTATCAAAGTACATATCTGTTAAATGCATTACCAGTTAAGACATCAGTACTAAGCATGCTAAGGGCTTTTCCAGTAAAACATTCACTGGACCCAGGGAAAGCACTTTGAAAACTCATCAATGGATGGGTGTCAAGTACTGTAAAAATGTAAGTGAAATTCTGACTTTGTCTCTATAGGTAGTTACACCATTTTGAAAGTGCCTTCTCTGGCTACTATATATGTATGTTTAAATTTAACTGCCCTAATTATATATAGTTATAATAGTTATATCGTTTTTACTTTGGTAAATTTATTTTTTCTTTTATTATTTGATATGCATGTGCCTTACACCATGTACACATGTTCAAACTAGATACAATGCAGATGTTTATCAAATGCTGCTCTTATTTTTTCTTACCATTTCCTGCCTTAACTTCTGTTTTGCTTCTTTCCTCTTCATTTCAGGTGTGGATTCTTCGTCAGGAATAACAACTGTAGGACTGAAATAATTGTTTCCATGTGAATAAAAGGAATTAAGGTCACATGTTTACTTTGTTAACAATGTCAGTATGGACTCAATCTGATGTATAATCTAAAACCAGAGACCAATTAATGCTAACATGCCAGAATAAACAGCTGCGTCATAAGCGCATGATACACCCGTCGTCTTGTGTGTGAATTTTTATGCAATAATTATAAATAGTTTATGACATACGGCGCAACATGCTAAAACCCCCCTTTTTTTTCCAAAAAAATCAATATCTCTAAAATAAAATTTTGAATCAAAACCAAAAAGTATACAGATATATAGATTAATATAACTAAGAAGTGTGTAAAATTTTAAGCAATAGTCATAAATCGTTTTTGAGATACGTCACGACATGTGAAAAACACCTCCCCCTTTTTTTACAAAATACTCAATAACTCATAAATGAAAGTTTGAATCATCACCAAAAAGTATACAGATCTTAAGATTAATATAACTAAGAAGTGTGTAAAGTTTTAAGCAATAATCAGTTAGTGTTCAATCATCAAATTCTTACCACAAGTTTGCACAGTTTAATAACACAATTTGCAACATACAATAAGTTCCAGGTATTTATAAAATGAGTTGAAGTATAATTGGTCAATTGTATAGCCAGAGACATAGCATGTTTTCTTTATTAATTGCAAAGACAAACATGACTTCAGAATCATCTTACTAAAAAGTAAAATTATAAAATTTCCAATTAATTGCAATTCATGGTATCTGAATGCATGAATTATAAATTGACACACATCAATACATATTTGGAAGAGATTCAAATTTACCATTGTTTTGTGTAGTGCTTTATTAGCTTTTTTTAAGCAACCAACATATTCATGTACAACACATCAAAAACATTTAATCGGAACAATTATTTGAAAAGATTGAAGACTTTTAATAACAATTGGCATTTATAGATTAAAGCAATTTCAAAATAGAACTTTTTATGACTTTCATTCAAGACATTTGATTTGAGATCCATCTTTATTTCTTGAACCTGGTGACCTATTTACAGAAATCTCTGCTTTGTACATTGTAATTCTATTTCAATATTCATTACTACTTACTTTTGATTTTGGACAATGGCAGGATCTTGAAATTCATCTCTGTTAACAGTAACAGATTTATTGGTCGGTTTGTTGTTGGATGGAACGGAGTTATGGTCGGCAAGTACTGGCACAATAAACTGATGTCCATTATTAGCTTGTCCTGGAACCAAGTTGGGCTGCCTTACGTTGTTCACTGAAGGAACTTGATGAGGCCTATTTGGCACAGTATTTGGTCCTGATGTAGCAACTGAAGGTCTATTTTGACTTACTGAAGCTGATGCATTAGCAGGTCTAATCAGAAAACTTCCATCTGGAACTTGACTAGGATCAGGTCTGTTGGGATTTGCTGTTGATGGATTTTGACCGACTGCAGGCCTGATTGGAATGTCAATTGTTGGAACCTGACCAGCTACAGGTCTTGTTGGATTGGTCATGTTAGGAAATTGACTTCCTGCTTGTCTCTTTAGGTTAGCTGTTGTTTGACCAGGTATATTCTGAGTTGTTGACGTCACTGTAGCTTCATTGGGTACTTGTTGATTTAGTGCAATACCTGGTTTTGATGTGTGATGTCCATGTCCAGCAGTTTGCGGTCCAGTAATGGTACTTGATGGCCTTTGAACCCCCATGAGCAGTGGATTAAATGGAGTTCTGTTCATGTTCGTCATTTGGTGTACACTTGATTGAGGCCTCTGTACACCAGCTGTTGGATTAAACAATTGATTAAGTTGAGGTCTATTCATGTCTGTCATTTGGTGTACACTTGATTGAGGCCTCTGTACACCAGCTGTTGGATTAAACAATTGATTAAGTTGAGGTCTATTCATGTCTGTCATTTGGTGTACACTTGATTGAGGCCTCTGTACACCAGCTGTTGGATTAAACATTGGATTAAATGGAGGTCTGTTCGTGTTCGTCATTTGGTGTACACTTGATTGAGGCCTCTGTACACCTGCTGTTGGATTGAACAATTGATTAAGTTGAGGTCTATTCATGTCTGTCATTTGGTGTACAGTTGATTGAGGCCTCTGTACACCAGCTGTTGGATTAAACATTGGATTAAATGGAGGTCTGTTCATGTTTGTCATTTGGTGTACACTTGATTGAGGCCTCTGTACACCAGCTGTTGGATTAAACATTGGATTAAATGGAGGTCTGTTCATGTTTGTCATTTGGTGTACACTTGATTGAGGCCTCTGTACACCTGCTGTTGGATTGAACAATGGATTAAACAAAGGCTTGGGCAGTAGCCCTTTATTTGACTGACTTACAACTGTATGTGATACGTTGGTTGAAACATTACTACTTAACTGTGGTCTGTTCATACTGATGTTTGATGAATCAGCTGTTATAGTAGACTGATTTCCTATCCTCATGTTCAGAGGGTTTGATGGATTAGGATAAGATACTGCTAAATTTTGATTGGTCATTGGTACTGGTACATTTGCAGATGTAATTAATAATGGCAGATTTCCTAATGGTGGTTGTTGAATCATTTGACCACTACGGTGACCAGGAAGTAATATGTCTTGTCCTATTGTCTCGACCTGGTAAGATGGACCAGCTTGTGGAATGTTTGTTGTAGGCTTCTGACTTACAAACTGAGATTTCACTTGTTGTTTTTGTGTGATGTTATTATTTCCAGCAGACTGAGCATTAGATTTCACTTGGTGATTTTGTGTCGAGTTATTCCTGCCTGAAGACTGAGCACTAACATTAACTGTTATATTAACGTTCAAATCAGATGCATGACTAACATTTACAGTGGCCGTCACACCTCTATTTGGACTTACCAAAGGATTAGTAAGGATGCTGTTCTTAGTTCCTGTCACACTGGATGGAGTGGTAGTTAGTATATTTGGTACTGTATTGGACCGTACTAGTAAGTCATTACGACCTTGTATTATAGTTTTATCACTTGCTACGACAGAACTAGGAAACGATGACTTGTTTGCTTTGTCCCTCCAGTTAGAGAAGTCTGGACTACTCATAACCTTTTCTAGTTTACCATTGAATTGAGAAGGTTTTAGAGGTGAGTTTTTAATTGGACTGTTTAGTATTGGCAAGTCGTCTTCACTGTCAGATTGGTCAAATATTTGATGTATTAAATCACTAGAATTAGAATCTGAACTGAACTCTATTTCTCTGTACATATCATCACTTGTTGATTTAAAACTGTCTTCTTTTGTCTCTAAAGTCAATGTACTTTTCTCAGCCCCACTCACATCTTTCACACCGGTACAAGATGCTTTGAATTTGCCATCTTTTAAAATGGGTTTGTCTTTCTTTACATGCTTTCTCCCAGGTTTTTCTGATACAATGAGACAATCTTTTGATGGAGTGTGTCCAGTTATTTGCACATCATTGTCATTGTTATGACCTGTTATAGTTGCATCAGATAGACTAATATTTGATGGACTTATTATGTTACTTTTGGCCGGTAGGATATCATTCACAGTCTTGTCTTCTTTAGAATTATCTCTCTCACTGTCAGTAGAATCTGTAATATAAACAACAAAGTATGTATATACAAAGAAAAGAGTATCTTCAATAACTTAATATAACAGTCAAGGGTATGACTTAAATAAGTTATTAGAGAAAAATAACATACATTTGTTATTGTGGGCTAAAAAATAAAAAAATTCGTAAGGGTTCCGCGGAACCCAGTGTCTCGCCTACTTTTGCTGTTAATCGCAGGCTGAACAAAAATGAGGAAAAAAATTAATAAAAATATTCCTCTCTATACTATCTTTTGATCATAAACAAGCTTCTGTCCAAGTTTGGTACAAATCCAGGATAGTTTAAGAAAGTTGTTAAAATTTTAAAAACTTTAACCACAGAGTGAATGTAATGTTTCCTGGCAGAAAAACTAAGTCCATTTATAAGTAAAATACGGAAAAAATGGATTTTTTTTTTACAAAATTTACTTTTGAATATAATCTTATGATCATAAACAAGCTTCTGTCCAAGTTTGGTAGAAATCCAGGATAGTTTAAGAAAGTTATTAAAATTTGAAAAACTTTAACCACAGAGTGAATATTTGTGGACGCCGCAGACGACGACGACGCCAACGGAATGAAGGATCGCTATGTCTCGCTTTTTCGACAAAAGTCGAAGGCTCGACAAAAACTGTGATAACATATGTATGTTACATGTTTGAAAAGGGCAATATACATCCTTTATTTTGTTGAATTGTATACAAGCTCTATTGATATTATTATTGTCTTTGTATATACTAAACTTTAGAAAGATATAACAGTTCATAGTTTGCCAATCATGCATAGTAAACCTATGTTATTACAGAAAATATTATATGCCTGTTATAACTAAAGGGTGTTATTACAGCTTCTCTACATCTCTTTAAAGCCTTTGCTCAGACACATATCACAATGTATTTTAATTTATTGTAAGAAATAATGATCAGAGCATGTAATGAGGTTCTGCACAAGATTAAGTAATTCCCAAGTGTCTCATATGATAAGTTACATGCCTGTATTAACTAAGCCTTGTTATTACAGCTAAGTTTATTACTTAAAAGCCTTGTCTCATTGATTTACCATGGTTGATCAAAAATGTATTCATTGAATTGGAAAATTAGTTATCAAGGTTATGTATTAAGTTACTGCGCAAAGTACAAGAATTCCCAAGTGCCCACTGAAAATAAAAATATTTATGATATATTTAACTGATAACAAACATATGTTACTATAGATTAAGAAATAAATGGGGAATGTGTCCATGGGACACAGATGTATGGACACAGATGATGCCCCCGCTTGCATATAACGTTATAAAGGGACATAACTCAAGAACTGTAAAAGTGACGCTACCCAAATTTGTACTTGATCTGAGTTTTGTGTTAATAAGCATTGTTTATAAGTTTCATAACATTTGGTTGAGGCATCCTTAAAGGGAAAATTCGCGATTTTTTACTTATCATCTTATTATGTTCATAATACCATTAAAAACATATTCACCAAGTTTTATCTGGATATGAAAACTAATAAAGAAGAAAATTGGGAATTATTAATTCTATTTATTCAAACTTCCTGACTTATGTGAAGTAGTTTAAGTCTTTTTGCATGCCGGGAGTGGATTAATCTCATTTAAAGTCTTGTTCGTTAATCATCTTATAACGCGATTTAAAGCGCATCAACGACTTTTGGTGTATCTATTAACCAACTAACAATTCAGAAAGAAAAGTGATCAGCCGTGCATTTTTTTAAATTAAAATTTACGATTTATATTTTAAGGATTTCTGATATGATTATAGTAATAAAAGCAAACATACAATAGAATTTTTTTTAAGATTTTTTTTTCGACGGATATTTTGAACAACATATATAACTGATAGTATAATAGAAATTCACATTTGTATTCTCCCCTATTACTTCAGTCGAGGATTGTCTTACTATACAAATCCTTGCTTCAGTCTAGTACTGTGTAAATACAATGCATGTGTATTATGCTGACACCACCTGGTAAAGGCGTGGTTAAATTCACGGTAATTAAAAGATTAGCATTATGTAATTTTAATCCTTTGATCTTCACTAGAGTGTTGTTTTGCCTCAAGGGTTCACCGTTGCAGGTATGAGACAGATTTTTTTTAATTATTAAGGGAGGAATATGGTGGCAAAATACCTTAATCGCCGTTATATATATATATTTTTAACATTTTGCATTTGCTCAGTTTTTAAATAAATAGGTGAGTATTTTGTTGTAACATCAAAATTCTGAATCACTTTTAATAAAATAATTATATAAATATTATAAATGGCCCACGAAAACGAGCGTATAAATCAAAACAGTACTATTTTAAATTATCATCGGTAACCTTGAATATTTAAATGTGCAGAGAAAATTATCAGTTACAAAAATATAGTTTTGTCGTCCAAAGCGATCTTCATTTACCTAATCAGGAATGCCCTTATTAAAATATTATAAATCTCACAACGTATTTATATAATTCTTAAGCTATTTGACCAACGATGTTTAAAAAAATGAACAGAATCAATCTAACGTCAACTTTCCTTTTTTAAATGGAGACAGAACGTCGAAATCAATTTTCAATGTGCTTGATATCTTGTACCTTTGTAAGACTTATCATTCATTCATAAACCCACTCTAAACCAGAGACATATATACGTCTGTTTAAACTGACAAAAAACTCCTAAAGCGGACAGGCAGTATATTCTGTAAATTTCTGAGATTTAATACAAAGAAATAAAAAAAATCCCGAAATGAATTTGATCCTGGAAAATATTCACATCCTCATTCGGTCTGAAAAAAAGATACGAATTTGGTATACAGAACATGCAAAAGTGTGAATGTTATAAAACCTAATTGTTATATCAGAAACCATTATAAATATGGACATGTATACGTAAGACCTCATGGGACGTCACCTAACCACATTCAGGTAATATACAAGTAGCTCTGTTATACCCGGAAATGCTCTCCCCCCCCCCCCCCCCCCCCCCCCCCCCCCCAAATCGAGGAACAGTATATCTTACGGTAAGTCACATCAAATTCAGATATTTATATAGTTGCTTGTCGTTAAATAGAGATCTAGTGTATACATGTCTCTGCGTTAACTTATAAAAATAACAGGAAATAATAAACTTGAAATAGATTTATGATGAATACTTTGCAACTGCGACACCCCTTTTTATCACAGCGTACATGCATGCATTTAAATGACTGTCCGTTATGCGATTTAGAATGACAATCGTACGTACAATCCTATAGTTCATGGTGAGTCCTTTTCTATCAGATATGCGACTTTTCGTATTTATATTTTCTCTTATATTACCGGTACTGTCATTTAATATCTAATGCATAAGTGCAATATTAAGAGTGGTTAAATCCCCTACAAGCTAACTAAATAAATAAATCAACCCTCTAGCTGACCAGACGTTAATACAACTACCATCAGTCTATCCGGAGTGAAGTTTCTTTATTTTTTCAAATAGGCTTTTGGGGATCATTAGTGCACGTCCAGTGGCATATAAATATAACATGCATGTCGGACCAGGAAAATGTGATGATGACGAATTCTTAAACTGTTCGAAATAATCTTATTGAAATATAAATCTGTGATTTTACTATGTCTATAGCTTCGATGAACCAAAGCAAGTTAGATATCGACCTGTATTTAAATCAGATTGGTTCTGGATGTTTCTCTCGTATATTCAATATACTTGTATGATATTAGTTCTATATTGCGACTATCCATAGTTCCGTATTAAACCTTCCATCTAGGCGTATAAACCAATGATCGATAAGTGCCGCACATTTTGTTAAATCAATATTTGTATGTTTCAAAATGTCCATAATTATTGACAACGAGTATATACTTACATTTTCCCCAATTTACCCTTGGAAAATGTGTAAATAGATTTTTATTTCATCAAATTTTTTTTTTTTTTAATTATTTTAATTTTCATTAATATCATTCTTTACACCAAAAATGTTATTTATAAACAAGCGTATGAGTTTAGCAATGACTAGTATGTCACTATCGGATACGCTATACAAAGTTGTATATTACACCTGATAGATTCAAAATGGAAGTTACATGTTATCGGCCGTGTACACTGATCAATACCCCCAGAAAAGAAGTGATGCACGAACTTGTTTTATGTAATTGTGTAAAAACAGTTTTAAAGCCCGACAGGAAATCGCTTGAATACCTGTACGTGTCACCTCACAATACCTCTGGGAACAATCCCTTTAGCCATTCTGGTGATCAGATAAGGGAAGGTCCGAATTTATTTTAAAAAGTTTATTACATAAAACAATTATGAACAAACTAGATTTTCAAAACAATTTTACACGGAACACTTATTTATAACTTTAACTTTTTAACTAATTTCAATTTCTTGTTTTAAATACTTCGTAAACAAAACAGTTTCAAAACGACAGACCATACTATAAGTACTAGTTATTTAAAAAATAATATATATAAAATTACATTTTCCGTATCAAGTTAGTTAGGAAAGGTTGCACAACCATGTCTATCATAATCTTTTTTGTGACCCGGTAAACTGTTTATGCTTTCCTTGTCGGATAAAACAACCGTACGCTTGACAAGATATCGACACTCAATGACGGCTACGTTAGGTTACTGCTTGTTTTGGTCCTTTGTGGTTTATAGATATATCGTGGTCAATATTCGGGGAGGATGTCAAAATGGCCGCATGCGGTGAATTGTTACTCTAAATTTAAAATCGATGGGGATCTCTTAACTTGCAGAATAAAACTTTAATATCTATGAATTTGTGCTTTTTTATACATAATGAACAGAATATGAATTTTTCATTTTTTTGCGAAGTTTCCCTTTAAGTTAGAGAACAGAAACGAAAAATTCAGCAATTTTTCCATTTGTAAATGGGCATAACTCTAGAATGGTAAAAGTGACGCCACCAAAATTTGAACTTGATCTGTGTTTTGTGGTAATTAGCATTGTGCATAAGTTTCATAACATTTGGTTGAGGCAAAATAAAGTAAGAGAACAGAAACGAATATTTCAGCAATTTTTCCATTTGTAAAGGGCATAACTCTAGAACGGTAAAAGTGACGCCACCAAAATTCAAACTTGATTTCTGTTTTGTGGCAATAAGCATTGTGTATAAGTTTCATAACATTTGGTTGAGGCAAACTAAAGTTAGAGAATGGAAACGAAAAATTCAGCAATTTTTCCATTTGTAAAGGGGCATAACTCTAGAACGGTAAAAGTGCCGCCACCAAAATTCAAACTTGATCTGTGTTTTGTGGTAATAAGCATTGTGTATAAGTTTCATAACATTTGGTTGAGGCAAAATAAAGTTAGAGAGTACCTACAGACGGACAAGGGTAAAACTTAATGCCCCCTCCGCTACGGCGGGGGCATAAAAAAGAGTAGACAACTCATGAAAGTATCTGTAATAACAACTGTATGTTATTTTTCTCTAATAACTTATTCAAGTTACACCCTTGACTGTAAAAGGTCCAAATATTGACCCTTTTTCTAGATCAATTTTCAAATTACGATTTAATGGCCGTTATCACAATGTATCATAGCTTTAATTATGGCTAAAAATGGAATAGGTTTTTTTGTTTGAAAATTTGCATATCAGCATACTTAATGTGATGTCATAATTAGCACTAATCTTTCTTTTTTAACAAATTCAATGAAAGAGTATAAAAATAAGAAGATGTGATATGCACATTAAATTATGACCTCAGTTAGGTTTTTTTGGACAGGAAACACATAGCCCATGCATCCACAAAAAAGATTTTTAACATTCGGTTTTTTTTTTAAAATTAAATGAAATATATCTGACTTGAATTCTGAGTTTGTTGAACCCTGTGCTCTATGTTTCCTCAGGCAAAATGTGGTTGAAATCTAGAAGATTGTTTAAACTCTTTGTAGGAAAAACTCAACAATAATCATCTCATATAAAAAGAAGTGTGGTATGATTGCCAATTAGACAACTCTTCACAAGAGACCAAATGACACAGAAATTAACAACTATAGGTCACTGTACGGCCTTCAACAATGAGCAAAGTCCATACTGCATAGTCAGCTATAAAAGGCCCTGAAATGACAAATGTAAAACAATTCAAACGAGAAAACTAATGGCCTAATTTATGTATAAAATAATGAACGAAAAACAAATATGTTACACAGTAACAAACGACAACCACTGAATTACAGGCTCCTGACTGGGAAAGGCACATACAGAATGTGGCGGGGTTAAAGTCGTTTGAAGTCGCCAATCCTCCCCCTAACCTGGGACAGTGGTGTAACAGTACAACATAAGAACAAACTATAATAAACTGCTTCGCCGAGCGCAGCTGGATACGACCGCAGAGGTCCAACCCTGAACAGTTGGGGCAAAAATGGACACAATATTCAAGCTTGATACAGGTCTGAATTTGGATTGTAATTAAATATTTGACACATTATAGGTTTCTGCATGACACAGAATAAATGTAGTCAAAGAACTTGAAATTGGTTATATGATTTGAATTTATATTCAATTGAAGATTTCTTGCTGTTGTGCAATACACTGTGCTGTTGCGCAATACTTAGTAAATCTGTTTTCAGACTATATACCAAGAATTAGCAAAATAAATTGTGACCCCCAATTTTCCTTTGGAAAATTGACAATTTCTTAAATCTTGAGGGAAAAAAAAATTTTTGTGGTCGTATAAAAATCAGTTGAAATAGGCTTCACCGTTGTCTGTATGGAGGAGTTTAGTCTATTGAGACTTTCCATCAGAACCTACATGTATTGACCAAATGGTTGCCTGTATGGAGGAAGATAGTCTATTGAGACTTGCCCTCATAATCTATTGAGGTTGTTTGTTTGTATAGAGGAGTTTAGTCCTTTGAGACTTACCATCAGAATCTATAGAGGTTGGCTGTCTGTACGGAGAAGCAACCAATGTCTTTTCAGTGAATGTCCTCAATTCTAACAAGTCATCAATACATCTCTGAAGAAGTGTCTCTGATGTCAGTGGTTCTCCATGGTTACTAGGATGTTGTACACTTGCTCTTAATATTTCCTGTGTCAAGTTTGGGAAGATTGGAACTAACATTTCCAAGACGGATTTTTCAATATCAGCCATCCTAAAAGAAGAAAAGCATTACATGTACATGTATTTTGAAAGAAAAATATTTTTTTTTACGATAAAGCCATTGCACAGACAAAAAAATCAAGAGAAAAATAGACTTTTCAAATTTGATACTCAACATTTTTGAACACATGGAACAGTTATCATGAAAAAAAACAAAACAAATAGCATTGGACTAATTGCTAATTCAAGTAAAACAACTCACAAGTATTAATTTTTATCCAGTTTAACACTTGTAGTATCTTAAATAAATTAATATTGTTTAGTGAATTTCTATCTTTTTGAACTGTTTAAGATGATAATGAATGAACATGATGAAAACTTCTATAATATACATGATATACAGCACATTAAAGTGAAGGACAACACATGTACAATATCTGCAGGTTTAGAACTTAATTTAAGAAACTGTGAACATTGCTACATGTATATTATTTTAATTACTACTGTAAATTCAGAAATAATTGCGTACATTTATTATTGCGATTTTGTCATTTTAGACTTAAACGCGATTTTAATATTTGCGATATTGAGACAAATCCTGTTCAATTCATATAGTCTGCCTCATATCTTGACTTGTATCTAGAAATTGACAACAATGGTCATGATGGTCAGTTGAAAACAAATCTTTATGACAAAAGAGATGATTTTAGCTTCCCAATTGTGAACTTTCCATTTCTATGTAGCAACATTCCCGAAGCGCCTGCATATGGAGTATATATCTCTAAGTTGAGATGAGATTCCAGAGCTTGCATTTCCTATCATGATTTCCTTGATAGATGGTTGCTGCTCACAAAGAAAAGTTCCAAGTTGAAATCATTCCTTCGAAAAATTTTAGACACCATCACAAGTTGGTTGACTATTATGGAATATATGTTTCACAGATGAAGATAGATATGTTCAAATTGTAATAACCACAATCCCATCCTCTTTTCCTCAAAGCTAACCTACCTAATTGGACTTATCACTCAGTGCATTCATTAAGACCCGGTACCCGGTACTTTTACCCGCCTACGGAAGCGTCTGGTACCGGCAGAAAAAATAAAAATACAAAAAAAAATGTGTAAAATTCTTTTGAAGATCGTTCAAATCTAATTTCTTTCATTCCTTGATAATCTCCGTTCTACGCCGTTCATGTGTATGTTCATGATGTTTAAAGGTGTCTTCGTCGAAGTCCGCGTTAAAGTATAGATCTATCTTCTGCCAATTTAGGCACACCTCCAAAGTAGGAGAAGTGATAATTATAACCATCACAACACTTAGCATACATGTATATCAAAAACGTTTGTTTGCTGTTTTGCATGAGAGCATGTTTATTGTTCATGTTGTTTAATTGTTTGCATGAGCATGACACTGTTAAATTACTTACACAAACAATTGACACAGTTGTGATTATAACAAAGCAATAAAAAAAGTTACAACAAGTTTTATCATCAATTTTTTTTAATAATATACTATGTAACTTATGAAATTTCATTCACAAAATTGAACAAATGCAAAACATTTAATAAAAGTATAAAAACAAACAAAACATTAAAACAACATTTCACATGAAACCCCTGCATTATAGGTCATACCATGGAAGTATTATATTGACAATAATATAATACTTCCATGGTCATACATATTTTATAACTGATTACAAAATAATTATAAGCAATGTATTTTCAGATGATTACTCTAGCATGTCTAAAAAAAAACCAATTCAATGTTAACTTACCCAAAATTGAAGCAAATATTACAGACTTTACCCTATTTTTTTTTAAGTAAAAAATTAAGGCTGAAATCCCTAAAATCCATGAGCTTCCGGGGGGCTTTGCCCCCCTGAAGCCCCTACCCGGGCTACCCCTGGACCCACTGGGGGCCTTAAGCGGCCCCCAGACCCCTCGCCATTTAGGTTTGGTTCCCCCTATAATCTCAAAGGTACCTCCAGTCTAAAAAAATAATGAAACCCCTGATCACTGGGTTTGTACTTGCATGAGAAACTTAACCAGTGCCACATGTGGAGCAGGATCTGATTACCCTTCCAGAGTACCTGAGATCATCCCCGTTTTTTTGTTGGGTTCTTATTGCTTAGTCTTTAGTTTTCTATGTAGTGTTTTGTATCATTGTGTATACTGTTGTTTGTCTTTTGGTCTTTTTTTTTGTTTTTTTGCCATGACGTTGTCACTTTATTTTCGACTTACGAGTTTGAATATATATTTCAGTTAACACAAAAATAAAAGTTTACTTGCTTTGTTTTTCAATATTTGAAATGTCATAAGGCCAAAAAAAATATATGTCTGTTTAAGGTTACATACTTTAAAAAAAATAGGGTAGGTCATACAATGTAGGAAGGTCGGTATTTCCATTTTATTTTCTTTTTTCTTTTTATTTTTTGTGACATGATTTTGAGTCATGCCGTTTCGTCTTGTCGTGGTCTGAGTTGATCATGGGCCGAGTTTACCCGTATTTTTAATGATTGGATTATTACCCTTGGTAATTGGTTGGAAAAAAATGGGGGCAAAGTGTTCATTTCATCACACGAGTTGCAAATTTCCTTAAAACAGCTGTCATATTCACAATTGTGAACATTGGGATGTATCAGGCAATTGATTTATATTATTTGCAACACTAACTTCGCTTTTGACCCAAGTTCAGTTTATTTTTCACATTACGACGGAAATAAAATGACTTAGGGAAGTTAGGGTCGACGCTCAAAAGTAGGGTCGGTCGAGTAACCGTAAACAGACATATATTTTTTTTTGGCCTAAATCAGGCGGTATCGCGTTTTGTAATATTAAGTCTTCTATAGCTGACTATACAGTACAGGATTTACTAATTGTGGAAGGTATATAGTCTGTGAACCATAGTTCCTTATATCCTGATCTTGATACAAGTCATTTGGACTTTGGTTGATAGCTGTCTCATTTAGTCATTGGCAATCATACACAGGCGCGTAGCTACATTTATGTCAAAACGCCCAGGGTACACATGAATTTTGGAGAAGAAAACATTTTTATTTAAATAAATTAAAAGAATTTGATAAAAACACATGAGCCTTGTAGTTATTTCTTCAATTACTAAAGATAAAAGTTACTAAATTTACTTTTTAATCAAATGGTATCATATTAAATATTTGTTAATTTTCTGTCGAAGTCTGAATCTACTGTGAATTTTACTCAGTTTTCAATTGTTTAAAGGAATTCATTACATGTATCTGCTGATATACAATGTGTGGTTTGCATTTTTATATTACATGAAAATAAATTATTTAAATGTGTCCATTTACTAAATTTGTGCATAAAATGGGGAGAAAATAATTAGATGTAGTCAACATAATAAATAGAACGACAACATTGATTGATTGATTGTTGGTTGCTTAACGTCCAGTGGCAAATATTTCATGCATATTCAGGACGAGAACAAGTTCACAATAAATACAATAGGTAGGTTCTGTAAAAGATTAAGGGATTAAGGTCTGAGAAATTTAGACTGCCACGGGAAATGAGGGTATATTGGATAGGGACAGAAATTTAGCCTGGCAACAGGTCACCTACGGACCCCTCAAAGAGTTGTTGCAAGGGTTCTTAACGTGCAAAGAGCGTGGCACTCTCTTTACACGAGGCATCGGATTTAACGTCCCCATTCTGACCGGACGTGGCTGCAAATTTGTACATCCCGCACAGCCAAACGGACGCCCCACTTTGACGAGGGTTTTACCGCCGGTCGGAGGAAGACCAATGGTGACCATACTTCTATTCCCCAGTCACCCTTGGGGATGACAACATTGAAATGGAGACTTACTTTTTAACTGTAGTGTATCTCTAAAGTTTTGGATTTTTTGTCGATTGATTGTTTTACCCTCGGGGGGGCTACTTCAATACTTAATTGATAGGGGGTGCCGCTGGGGTTCTGTTACCCCACCCTTTTCAAAAAATTAGATTTTAAAAATGTATACCTTTTCATATATTGCATAGGTAATAATGTAACCTTTTCCCATATTGTTTGGGTTTCATGTCGAGTGTAATGTAAGAGTGGAATACCAAAGTGCCAAAAGAGGAAAATTGGTTGATAAAAACAGCCGGGAAAACCAAGGTTTTTGCGACCTGTTCACATATTTTCAAGCTTGAAAAGGTGACCTATTTCAGCGGCACGTCCTATCACCTTGTATATAGGAAGTGCCCCCCCCTGGAGGTTTTACCCCACATTTCCTTTTAACATTTTACAGTAACTGGTTTGGAATTTTCTTTAAAACCATGAACATGATGAACATGAGATTCTAAATTAACAATTGGTTGAAATTGGCTTTGAACTAGCTTTCAGTAACTGCGAGTACTCTTATTTCGTTGGGTTTATAGTTTTATTGTTTTTATATCAGTGGTTTTTGAGCCTCATACAGAACAATCTTTTGATTTAATCCTGGTTTTTACAGTTTGTTCTTATGTTGTGCTGTTACACCACTGTTCCAGGGTATGGGGAGGGTTGATCGCTCACATTTTTAACTCCCGTCACATTCTTTATGTACCTGTCGAACAGTGGTTGGCATTGGTTGAAGTCCCTCAAATTTGTTTTTCCTTTTGCTATGATATAAATAATTTAGGCCGTTATTTTTCTTGTTTTAAACATTTAACATTTTTCTTATCAGGGTCTTTAAAAGCGAACTATAAGGTATGGGTTTTTCTCATTGTTGAAGGCTGTACGGTACACGTGGGCTGCCTATTACTGCATACTACAGCTTCATTTTAACTCTGGTGAATAGTTGTCTCATTAGTTATCTTACCACATCTCCTCAATTTTATAAGTATGAATAAATTAAACATAAAAAATAAACAAATAAGGCTCTTAATATAAAAATTAGGAGATGTGGTATGATTGCCAATGAAACAACAATCCATCAAAGTTCAAACATGTCAAATCAAGTGGATGTAAATCTGAAGTATGTTTCTTTCTCAATAACGTGGGAAAAATTTGGTTGATTATATAGGGAATCACTGAAGCTTGACTGGAGCGGGCAAACTCTGAGGCAGTTAGTGGGCCCCCCTTATGAAAATTTCTGAATCTGACACTGAGGAGGTCTCTGTCCTGAACTCACTGGGGCCCTCAGACCCTTCGACAAGGTTCGGGTGTACACTTAAAAATGGCCTAGCTACGCCACTAATACAGTTTCCCTGATCCCGTTAAAGGACTCTGCCCTATGCTCTTCATCCTTTGTGGCCTTAAAGCAGACCCTACATAGGAGGGACTTCATCATCAAAGTACAGGGGTGTGACAACGCAGACAACCTTACGAAACTCTTGAGCGACCTGTCATTTTCTTTTTCTGGTTGTGGTATTCGGCTTTAAGCGTAGTATTAAATATTTTTAGTTATTTACCTGGACGACATAACCCTTAATTAGATAATAAAGTTACACAGGAATTCTGTTGAAATTCTGCATCATCAACTTCGACTTCAAAATATCATCTCGCGCGCTGCCTCGTTTTAACTACTTGACTTACTCCCCCTTGAAGTACTACTTTCACTTTCGTTTTATATTCGCGCCAAATTATAAAATTCTAAAAGTAGATTCAGATTTCAGATTCTTTATTAAGATAACTAATATTACATTAGTGTTCTCCATTACAAATCATATGATAATATACAAAACAACATTTCAAAGTTTCACATGTAATATATCTATAGGCACTGGCTACGGTTACATGGAAATGTAACAATAATATAAAAAATATTGTACATTGGAGACTAATTGCCGGAATGCAGGGTTGGGTAAGGAACCGATTAATTACGAATGTAACAATAATATTTGGGTCTACGGTTACATTGCGTTATTGTTACATTAAAGACTGCAATGTATGATAGATTTATAAAACTTAAACCTTCTATAGTTATGTTGCTTAATTCTTCGATATGTACTAGATAATATTAATAATAATAATATTATTCTGCTAATAAGTATTGATTGTTTTGGTGTTGTTAAAATTCATGACTACTACAGTTTAGTTCAATATCACTATTGATGAATACTTAATGAACTGTTCAATAGAGCATGTACTGTCACGACTGATAAGATCACAAAATATCTGGACTCTGAAAATGAAAACACTGTTTCCACCAATTTCAATCTGTCGGCAAATGTCAACATTAATTGCTTTCACAATTGACTTGTATTTAAACAACCTAACATGCTTCCAAAAAAATATTGGACGAAAATGTAAACATCGCAAGAGTAACAAAATATTTTTCACCTGAAGCATGGCATTCAGACATTTAAAGTTTCTTAAACTTCATAAAGGGAAAATTATTGCAGAATGGAATTGTACGGTATGCAATATAGAGCGTGCACATTGCCGTATCACTGGTTTGTGATGGCTGCTTAGAATGGTTTCACCGAAAATGCGTCGGACCAAAACATGTTCCAAAAACAACATACTGGATTTGTAGAAACTGTCATTGTAAATGAAAAATCAAAATATTGTATGCAATATTGTAAATATCAAATAAAAGTTTTCAAGTTTTATTTTAATACATATTTATTACTATTCCAATCGTACATTGCAGTGCGTTAATGTAACAATAACGCAATGTAACCGTAGACCCAAATATTATTGTTACATTCGTAATTAATCGGTTCCTTACCCAACCCTGCATTCCGGCAATTAGTTTCCAATGTAACAATAATTTTTATATTATTGTTACATTTCCATGTAACCGTAGCCAGTGCCATATATATATATATGTATAATAATATAATTGTAACCATAATTTTATGAATTGTTTTTTATTTCTAACGCATCTCTAATAAATTTGTATAAATAATTACGTTCAGTAATATTTTGTGGATTTAAAAGTTTAGAAACTGAAAAATAATCATTACACAAATCTTTTAAATCTAAACCATAAGATTGGAAAAAAGTTTGCCTTATATCTTTATATTTATCACAAGATATCAAAAAATGTTCTTCAGTCTCTACTTCAGTGCAAAATTTGCAAGTATGTGTTCTGGAATAATATCAATGATATGTCAAATGAAGATAAAAAATTTTATCATTATCATTATCATCTTCTTCCGAATACGGGAGTAGACCTAGCTAGGTAGGAGTGTAAAACTTCCCAGAACTTGTGTGCTATGAACATATGGACTTAGGGGACGACCATTTAACTTCAAGGGGTGGGGGATATGTTTTTTTCCTAAAAAAATATTCTAATCCCCAATTTGATGGAAAAAAAATATTGTGGTCAAGCAGATGACAAAAAAAAATATTCTGAATCCAGATTTTCCCCATACCTTATAGTGTTAAATTTTGAAAAAAATAATTTGATTGATAGCGTTGAAAAACTAAAAAAAAATTCTGACTCAGACAAAAAACCATTCCCCCCCCCCCCCCCTTTGAAGTTAAATGGTTGCTCCCTTAATAAATTTACTATAAATGCTATAAACAATACAAATAAATAGTCTATTGAATAGAATATACACATTATGTACAGTGGTTTTGGTGGCTTAATAAGTTGGTGTGGGTCCTTCAAATGTTAGAGTGGATATGCCACTTTTGAAGGATTCTAGGGTTTCAGACATACCTATTGTTTCAGGTAGTGATCATTATCATTGTCATTTTCATTTATTATTATCATTATCATTAAAATATTTCAAACATTAAAAGCAAACGAGCATACATGATTTCAAAAGGAATGGATCAACTTGATGAGCTGTTAAGCTCAGTAAAATTAGTACCGATAAGAAGTGTTGTTTGCAGTCAAATTTCAATATGTAATAGTCTCTGGTATAACTGAAATGTTTCCTTCTACAGTCGGAGTATATTAATTCCATGATTTTCTCTATATACAAACTGGGAAATAATATATTGATTAGTATAATAGTCCCAGATACAAATGACTTTGAAACCTCCCGTTTTGATAACACCCGCCGCTGTGATCAAGTGATATATCATTGTCCGAATCCGGTTGATATATGGTAAGACAAAGTCACTAATTATTCAAAGAACAACAAAACACAATTTCAAATCAAGTTTGCAATATTGTGCTTGAAGTTAAGGCTGCGTGGACTAATATATATATACGAGTTAAGTCCCAATTGATCCAAGGGCGGATAATAAAGCTGTAGAAGCTAAGGAGCTGAATTTGTAATGTGCCTGATCTCAAAAGAGCCTTTATTACATGATGTTTTTAAAGACAAGCAGCAGTTATGAGAATGATTGGCATACAGTATTACTACACTTCAAAATTGAATTAATCTCATGTTTACAAAGAACTTTTTCTAAAACCGCGAAAATTATTCAGATCAAAACAAAATAGGAATTGGACGATGACATTATTTGGTTCAAATTGTGAAATATTTTCAATAAATTGTATAAAGAAGGGGTTTAAGAGGAATTGCGGACATAAATTCGGTAACCCCCTCCCGCCCCTAAATAAAGCAATGCATGGTAATGTTCATGCTTTGGAAAGGGAAATATCATATATGATGATTCTGAGATAATATCTATATATGGTTATGATTGTGAGAATGTTTCAATAAATTGTAATACGGGGTTTAGGAGGAGTTTCGGAAACAAAATGAGTACCCTCTAGATAAAGTAATGGCAAAGTATATTCTTTGGAAAGCGAAACACAAAACTAATTCAGACCAAAGAACTAAAATAGAAGTTGCACAATGGCATTAAATGGTAAATTCTGAGAGAGTTTTATGATTAAGGTGTCAAAGGAGAAGCGGATACAAATATGTACTGTTATGATCTATTATAGTCAGATAGTGTTCAGATATGACGTAGACCATGCATGTTATCCCAAAGTAAACCCCAAAATCATTTAGACGAAGAAATGAAATAGAGGATGCAAAAATACATAATTTTAGTGAGATACTGTGAAAGTGTCATTAAATTCTGTCCGGCGGTTCAGGAGCAGTTGCGGACACAAAAGAGGGACTGAATAACGAACGGACGGACGAACTCCCCCATGACTATAAAAAGTTCGCTTTATAAAGCCGAGTGTATAATTACGATAACACTTCTTCATTTTTTTTTTATTGAATTTAGATAAGAATAATATTAAAAAAACATTGAAAACGGCATAAGAATAAGCAACAGTGCGCTCGCTAGCTATTGAACGTTGTCGATATTATAAAAAAAAACTTCTGAAAAAAGAATGTCCCCCTATGTAAATACAGAGTTGGAAGATGTATTCCATTTTGTAATAATGTGTACACAACTAAATAACTCTAGAATTAAAATGATTAATGCAATTTCTGATATTGTTGGTTGTTTTAATTCAATGAGTAATGAAAACAGATTTTATTTTAGATTTTCTTGTGAAGAAAGTGACATGTTGAAGATAACTGTGACTGGCATAAAATAGATGTTTAATGAAAGAAACAACAATAATATTTGTGCAAGAATTGTCTATTTTACATCTATGTCTTATCTGTACACATATCAATAAAAGAAATTTCTTTCTTCGCATTATAACTTTATGTATAAATAAATATATAAAAGAGATAGGCAGCAATTCCTTATTTATATCTGTTCTACAATAAGTCTTATGCTAATTAAGGAGGAGGCATTTGTTGTCACCCATTAAGAAATGTAATTTTTAACAGTGTTGCATGCATCCTGTATTGTTTGTAATGGCACACATGCAAATATTTTTACAGCTGTACCCAAATTGAACTGTTTTTCATCTAATGTAAATCGGCTATTTAATTCAATGAATGACGGAGCTCATTCATTGAACTAGAGATAGTAGGCCAAATATCATTAAAAGTCAAGCCAAAGGCAACTATATAAACCTGCACCAGTGGAAGACTTCGAATAATGTCTCCGACTGTCCTTTTGAGACAATATGATATATGTATCATTGTGTCGGAAACAAAACAATATTCGAAATATAAAACTAAGCAATACATTCATGTGAGAAATGTTTTTATAATTCGTCGACGACAATAAATGCAAGCTAAGCTAATAATATGTCAGTGAGAAATGCTTTTTTGTTATTTCGAGTATAAATGAAGGATTTGACTGATCAAATTCCTACAATGAACAAATTAAAGTATTCTTATTTCAGAGATTCCTAACATCAACAAATTATATCCTTATGTCCTGAAAACCATATTAGTCGTTGGATATTAAGGTCCTTCGCAAAATGCGCAGGTGTCATGAATTTTCTTTTGTGTGTGGACATATTGAAACATTCTCAATCAATCAATCCTGTTGAATCAAATATTCGACTTTTTTCCCTTATCATTAATCAGTACAATGTACGATCCATATGAACTTGTAACAGCTTCAATCTCACGGAGACATTTTCTTATATACGGTCTGAACAAAGCTATGAATCGAATTATAAATTTATATCAACAAAAACAAGTGGTAAATGTGCAATCTAAAATGACATGTAATCAATGATGATAGCTGACGAATGTCTTCACCAAGACTGAGTCCATCTTCTGCAGAATCGACATCACCATACCTTTTAAGGAGAT